GTGTGGAAAAAGTAGTTCTGTCTCTCTGATCCCTGGCACTAAGGAACTGCCACCCATAAGAAGGGAGGGAAGGCATTTCCCAGCTCCTCAGCTCAGTAGTTTGTTGGTATGCTTTGCCTGGATGACACTGGATTTCCTGGGACTCTTGTCTATAGCCAGCTGAGTAACAACATTTCCATTGACATCGCTGGATTTTGGATTATCATTTGGATTAGATGTGCCCATGGCAGGGGGCTTGGAACTAGACGATCTTAAGGTCCTTTCCAACCCTAACTATTCTATGATTCTACAAAGCAGAAGGGTCCTGCTGCTTGACTTAGGGTTTACCAGAAAGCAGCCCAGCTCTAGCAAGTCTAGCAAGTGGTGATCCACACTGCAAGCCTGAAGACTGATGTCTGTCAGGTTTTATGAGCAGCCTGCAGCTGGCCGAAGAACATCCAGAGGGCAAGCTACAGAAACATACTGTCTTTGTTAGTAGAAGATCTAGGAAAGGCTGAAATCCTGTTCTAGGCAGGTGAAAAACAAGACATGTGAGCTCTGATACTTATTCTGATTCTTTGGTACATTCTCTGGAGCAAGAAATGGAAATCATATGGGGAAATATGGGAGAACATGAAAAAGTAGGAGACAAGATGAAACTACAGAACCTGCCACGAGAGGAGAATGGAAAGAGTTGTAAAGTAGGTGAGGAGGAGACCTGAGGAATTGCTGACAACATGGAGAACATAAATGAGATTTGGAGAAAGGCAAAAAGCTTCTTTAGAACTGAAGCTAACAAGAACCTTTGACATGCAAAACTCTAGAGGGACTTACTGGCAGTCACTAGGCACTGAAGCAAGCCCTCCAAGGCTGTGTGAGAGGAAGTGAGGTACTCCAGACTTGAACACAGCTGAGGTAAATGTGTGCTTAAAACGCGGTGAGGTGGTTGGTCACACTTGCAGTCAATGGAGGGAGGGGAAGGTTTATCTTCTGGACAAAGGGCTAGGGTGAGTGAGGCAAAAGTCTTGAAACTTGGATCAGTTTCTGGAGTGGAATGTTTGTAAACTGCTCTGAGATTTTGGTTGGGTGACACCAGAGCAGTTCCTCAGCTGGATTCTGTCAGCTCCCAGGATAGCCTCTTCCAAGGAATCAGAAAATGGGCTCACTGTGCAACATGAAGGTCTGTATTCAGATGGGGCAGTGCCTCTTCCTCTCAATAATTGTAAAGTGAATGCTTGCAGAGTGTGAATTTGTCCTTTTCCTCTGTAAAAATGCCAGGCTGAAACTTTTGCCTTCTTCCAGTTGCCCACATCCTGCCAACAGTCCTTTGAGCCTTTCCTACTAGGAAAGCCATTCTGAGCTATTTAATGATTAGCTTGCATGTGAGCTTTCAATTAAAACCAGCAGCCACAATTAATGGAGCCCACAGGATCTTCTGCAGGCTGCAAAGGCCAGTAGTGGGAAGAGTGGTGGCTTGTCAAGCCTGCTAAATAGAGATGGCCAGTTTCCAGCTCTCAAAAGGAGGAGATGATGGATGAGAGATGGGGAAGGAAACAATCGCATACAAACAGGACTCCCTTAGGAGCAGCCAGCACAAGCTGCCAGTGAGCATCAAATGCTTGCACAGGATTTGTCTTTGTTTGGGAGCAGGCCATTTCCACTGCAGGTAAGGTGCTTTTCTTACTTTGTACTCTTCTCTCGTGGAAGCAGATTTTTCAAGTGATGTATGGGAGACAAGTGGAAGCCCCATTCAGAGTCAGGGGTGTCCATGTTCCCTTATGAAAAGCAAAACTGCCTTTTACCAGTGGTTTATGAAAGCTCTGGGACAGAGCAGAGCTCAGATTTGGCAGCCTTGGTCAGTCAAAGTTATTCAAAACACTTTCCTAGCTGATTGCTCTCTGCAGTAGCAGTGCTAGGTAAAAGGGTTCTCCTCCTGCAGAGCTACTTCCTTTGGGATAGACCTGTGACATAAAACATAAAGGCAGTAGGAACAGCTGAGGACCATGTGAAAGCCTGGGCAGGTCAAATTAGAGCCCAGGTCTCCTTGCTCTTTCCCAGTTCTGACCACTAAATTCTCCTCTTGCTTCTCTTCTAATGAGCAAAAGAGCTGCTGAGCTTGGAATAGCTGGAAGGGCATTTCTCAGGTTCACAGTTACACTGATTTACCCCTGATACACTGAGGTCAGCAGAGTTACACCGATGTGAGATCAGGTCATAGGCAGAATAAGCGCAAAGCAAGCTAACACTTTGCTGGGCATGCTCCCCTTCATCAGATGAAGGCACAAATGGAAACAATAATGATACATGAATTGGTCAGGTATCTGTAAAACTTATGGAAAAACTGCTATTGTCACATAAGCTGAAAAGAAACAGGAGACTTTAAAATCATTTACAACCGCTTGTGGTCTGTTATGCTGCTCACTTTTGCTAGTAGGGCTTACCTATGTGATACGTAAGTGGTAGGATGAAGGAATGGGCCTTAAGTTTTAAGGATCTTCATCCTAAATAGTGTGTGGTGGTGAATGGAGGCTACCATGTAGCAGGATCCAGGTACATGTGAGAATGGTGGGATTATGGAGTTGAAGCTTTCAGCACATCAGTTCCACCCTGAGCTCCTTCACGTGTCTTGGGCAGGTATTTCAGCAACAGGCGGGCAGAGCACTGTGTGCTGCTTTGGGAGCTGTTAGCTGGACTCACCCTGGCCATGAAAGCAAATGAAAGGACCTGCTGCTGCTCCTCCTCCTGCTGAGCACAGAAATGAGAGGAGCAAGATTACTTCCAGCAGCTGCTGACTATGGCTGCTGTTATAAGGATAATCATAGGTGATACTCCAGGGCAAGAGCGGTCACTACAGCAATCTCTCACATGTAAGCACTGTAAAGCAGCAAAGGCATTAATGTTTGTACAGTTTTAGAAGAGTGCCTGTGGCCTTACACACCTAGCTAGCTAGATCTGTGTCCTGTGGAAGCTGTCACTCCTGGAGAAACTGGTGTTGCTTGCTGAGTTAGGATAGATGGCTAGAGAAAAGTGTCTTTTGGTGTAATTTGGCAAACTTGCTGGATCTAGAAAAGATTAAGCATTAGATCCTGAGATAATTTCATACCTGGACACTGTACAGACTATCCATGGGTTTGGAGCATTTTCCTTACTGAAATGGTGTGACATATTTACATAACATGAACATTTTTGAAGGAGAACAAGGCAAGCAATAAAGGCATGAAAGCAACTGAAGCACCCTTCTCACCTGGTGCAGATGGTGATGGTTTTCCAGGCAATGAAGGCAGAATCCTATTGATCATTGCTGTTCTAGGGAGTCTGGAAGCTTATGGCTCTCAGCAATAATGGGAGTATTGGGTAGTTATGAGCTTTTGGTGATCTGCATTGTCAGTAAAGGCTCTAGGCCCCAATACAGCAGCTTAAATCAAAAGCCTATTTTTCTCCCTTTCATGTCTCTCTTTGTGTCTGTGTCTCATCACTGAGGATTTGCTCTGGCCCTGCAGAATGAGGCTCTTCAGTCATTACCTTCATGTTAACTCCGTGTCCTGCTTGGGCTGCTGCCAAGAGTAGCTTTTTGGTAATCCCAGCTGCAACGCTTATTTGTGCCACCCCTTCTCCCTGGGGGCTAAAGAAAGGGAGCAACAAGGCACGTAAGTGTGCTGTGTGAAGAAACAGATGCTGTTTTGCTTCTGCTCACGTCCCTAGTGCCTGCTTTGGATTCCATTGTGTTCAAATACAAATACAATAGTTAATAACTTTGTTCCATGCATTGTCCTCTTGAAGTAACTCCAAGAAGGGACTGGCCAGGTGGAGAGTTAAATCCATCTTTTGCTGAGCTGATTGGTGCAGTTTGTTCTGCCTTCTCTGTGTTCCCAGCAGCAGAAACCTCTCACTTAGAAGTAATAACAATTTAAACCTTAATATGTGGCTACTTCCCTGTCAGCCCAGCCTCAGTTCCCTTGACACTGGTGGTAATGCTCTTCTAGCATGGCACTCCATGGAAGGCACCCAGGCTGGGGCAGTTTGAGAACTGCAGCCCATGGGAAGGACTCTTGTTGAAGTTCATACAGGACTTGTTTCCTGTGGAGGGAACCCACTCTGGCGCAGGGGAGGAGTATGAGGAGTCCTCCCCTGGGGAGGAAGGAGCAGCAGAAACAATGTGTGATGAACTGACCACAACCCCCATTCCCATCCCCTGGGGCACTCGGGGGGAGGAGGTGGAGGATTCCGAAGTGAAGTTGAGCCTGGGAAGAAGGAAGGGGTGGGGGGAAGGTGTTTTAAGATTTGGTTTATTTCTCATCATCATCGTCCTGCTGTGGTTTGACTGGTAACAATTCAGTGTCCCCCAGTGGGGTCTGTTCTGCCTGTGCTGGTAACTGGTGACTGTCTCTCCCTGTCCTTGTCTCGACCCATGAGCCTTTTGGTGTATTTGCTCTCCCCTGTCCAGCTGAGGAGGGCAGTGACAGAGCAGCGTTGGTGGGCACCTGGTGTCCAGCCAGGGGCAACCCACCACACCAGGTCACATCTCCTGCCCTTGTCCCTAAGGATCTCCTGCTGGCTAGAATGTGGCTCCCAGCAACAGCTGGACTCCATGTGTTGAGTTTTTCATATAGAGCCACTGCAAGGTCATGCCCTCCCATGAGGATTCAGACAGGCAAACCTTAGCTCTAGCTCTTCCATGTGGGCAGGAGAATGCTTCCCATCCTGACCTGGAGAGAGCAAGGTATCCTATTCCTTAACTCCAGACATAGAACTGTGACTGTCACTTCAATGATGAAGTGATAAGAAGTTCAAGGGAACTGTTTCTTCCCCCTTTGTCCCACCCTCTGCACAGGTTGGCCACTGCAGGTGAGATTTCTCAAGGTGCTCAGCACCCGTTAGTCCTACTGGCTGATCCAGTAGCAGCGTTAGGTGAACAACAGACTCAGGGGGACATGCAGGGGAGGACGTTCTTGGCTGAGGTTGGTGATGATGGCACTGTTCTTTTTCTCTCTTTCCCTACCCTCAACCCCCTCCGCATGAAGACACGCAGAGCACTATGTCACTGGCCTCCTGGTTCCGGTGGAATGAGCCCTCAAGCCGCATTTCCCAGAAAAGCCCCACGGAGATGGTGGTGGAGACGCTCATGATGGAGCTGAGCTGGCAGACCAAGCAGGCAGAGAAGCAGCAGCGAGAGCGGGAGAACGAGTATCGCAAGATCAAGACAGGGGTGGACTACGGCTGGCTGGTCAGCTATCCAAAGCAGAGCTATGATATCAGCCCAGGAGAGCGCCTGCAGCTGGAGGATATGTGTACCAAAATCCACCCTTCCTACTGTGGGCCTGTCATACTCAGGTACAGTAAAAGATGTGCTGATACAGACCTTTCCTTCCTCCCTTTCCTCTTTCTGATAAGTGAGCAGGGAGGAAGAGTGGTTTGAACCAACAGAACTGAAACTTGGCATCTTGTATTGTAAGTCATGCTGGGACAGGGTCTCTGTGGAAGAAGAGAAACCTAATGTTTTAAGATAGTTTAATGTGGTATCATTTCCCCCATAAAGTTACTAAATGCCATTTCCCCCTGAGATTGGCTTGAGTACTTTATGGTCCTGAGCAGCCAGAGAAGCTTTGTCTTGCCTGATGAACAGTTGCCATTCCAGTATCGTGATGGCTTCTGCTTCAGTCTTTAGAATCCATAGAATAACTGAGGTTTAAAGGGACTTCTGGAGATACATGCTTCAATCTCCTACTCAAAGTAGGGCCAGCTCCAAAGTTAGATCAGGTTACTCAGGGCCTTGTGCTGTCTATTGTTGAATATCTCTGAGGGTGGAGATTCTGCAGCCTCTGAACAACCTGCTTTGGTGTTTATCCACTCTCACTGGAGCCTTCCTTCCTTGGTTTAAGCTGTCCAGCAGGTCTATTGAGGCATTTGTCCCCAGTGTCCAGCCAAAAGGTGCTATTATGTTTTTTAGCCTGTGAGCCGGGTATTCCCAGAGAAAGCAGGGATTGCATGCTTCTCCCTCTCTCCACACCCTTCACTTGGAGTAGGAGGCAGGTGGGGCATGCTGTTGGCTGGAACAGCTACGTGGTACTTCTGCCTTCTGCACTGCACGCACAGATACAGCCTCTTGGACTTGCTGTTGAGCCTTTCAAGTGCTGGATCTAGGTTTGCTGCTGGCCAGCTGAGTAACCTTCAGTGAAAATGTCTTCAGAAATAGATCTAAGACTGTTCTAGCACCCAAGCTGGGGGAAAGGAGGTGACTCTCTTCCTCTGCGGGAGGTCTCCTACATTAAATCTTCTCGCTGAGCACAGCGCAGTTCACCTTAGCCAAAGCCAAGATGTGAAATGGGCCTGTATAATCCATTCCCCCTCTTCCAGCATACTCTTCAGCCGGGATTAGAAATAAAACAGTCCTGGCAGGGCAGACACAAAGGGATTCCCAACACCCTGCAGTCACTGCCTGTGATGGCACCCATTTTTCTCTCGAACAAATGAATCTACAGCTCCTGATTCACAACTGGAAGAGGGCTGGGAACAGCTGGTCCTTTGTCTTACCTCTCTAGCCCTCATCTGCCCTGGGGATGAACCTTGGAGGCAAGCTGGCACAGGGCTTTGGCTCTTGCAGAGGCTGTCATTGTGGCAGAATCAGAAATCTGGGCGCATTCAGTGGCCAGGTTCTTCCCAGTGGAAGTTTGCTGGAAGCAGCACCTGCCTTACATTTGTCTAACTCCAAGCTATGCTGTAAACAAGCCACTTCAAAGCCCTTGGGGTTCAGAGTTATTTTCACCCTCCCCAGGGCCACAGAGCAAGGGCTGTCTGGAAAACAGGTTATTTCCATGAGAGCAGGCTTCAGCCACTGGAGCTGGGAGGCTTCATCAGCTCCTTCACTAAAGGGTATTAAGCTGAGCCATCTACAGCTTGCTCCTGCTTTGTTTATGCAAAGATATGTGTTTTCAGTGCTGCTTCTAGTGCTTGTTCAGGATTCAGTGTGCTGCTGGCGGTAGAGAAACATACTCAGCGACATTGATGGGCTCTATGTGGGCATGATTGAAAAAGGATAAAACCATCCTCCTAAAATCCTCTTAGAAATTGCTATTATAGGCTATCATAAATTGTATTACAGTATGAGTCAAGAAGTGGCATGGTTTTGTTTGTTCCACACTATGGTTAGCAGAGCCACATTAAATAAATGAGACTTGCATAACGGTTTTTGGTTCAATTCCCTGATGAAGAAGGGAATGCCATAGCCATAATAACAGCAGAACTGGATTGGGTCAAAGGTCTGTTTGATCTGATGTGCAGTCTGTTTGTGAGATAGTGCCAGTAGCATCAGTGTAAGGAAAAGAGAAAACAGGGCAAGCAAATACACCAGTGTGGACAATCACAGTATCTTGTATTTAGCCTCCAGCTTACTGTGCCTTGGAGACCTTTAGAGCCAGAAGTAGCCCTTCTGTCCTTAATTGCCCTCCGTGGCTTCTTCTTTCAGTAGGTTGCCTAGGTTGTGGGGTTTTGCTTTTCTTGGTTCTGAACACATGTAAATGTTGGCATTTGCGGCACCCCGAGGCAGAGTTCTACACCTGAACTACAGCTCTCCTGGAGAAAACTGTATTTTGCTTGTCTTAAACTAGTATGGACAAGTTGTATTTGATAATCCCTTTGTCTTGTGTTGGGAATGTGAGCAGTTGACCCTTCTTTTCTACCTTCTCACCCAGAGCCCTGTGGTTCAGAAATCTTAATTATTGTTATGGAAACAATTAAAAAGGATGGGGCTTGCCATGCTAGGGGCTGAAAATACACAGCAGAAAGAAGGAGCATGCAGTCTAACTAAAAGACAGCCAGAACTGGAGAAATTACCCTCTCAGACAGTGAGATAACATGGGGATCTTAATAACTTCTCCCAAACTGCCCAAGAGGAGTATAATAGGAATTCAGCTGAAATGGCCACATCTGCAGTATAGTACTTTAATCACCACATTATTGCACTGCTGCTGTTTCCTCTTGAATCCTCTGTGACTTTCTAATATGTATCCACTTTCAGAAAATCTTCCACTTAAAAGATCTATGAGGTTGCATTTGGAAGTTCAAATGCAGAGCATGTACCTTACTGAAGCCCTTGGTTCTGGCTGAAACACTAAGCTGGTTCCTTTCCCTTCCAGCTTGGACATCTTAAGAGGTGAAGTCCTTTCTGATGTACTCAACAAGCATGTAATACTTGAATCACACAAACGGCATGCACCTTGTAAGGCTGCACTGTTTGTTTTGTTTGTGTCACACAAAGTCTCCTTCTTTGGGAGATTTGGACGGAGCTCAGAGCCAAAACCAGAACAAAACACTTCGGTCTGAGTTGTCAGAGATGTGACTTTATTCTCCAAAGCTCTTCTAAATGCTTATCCAAATTGTCCTTTTCTGTGGCTACAGTCACATCTGCGGTGAAGCAGGGTTTCTCTGCATTTGGTCCTTTAGATGTGGACAAGGCTGGAAAGGAGCACTTCTGAAACGGGAGGGATTTTCCTTCAGATCCAGTTTGCCTGGGTTTGTATTTCAGGCCAATAGAAACTTCTCGTTGAGTCACTTGAAATTCTGGAAGGGTTCAAATGCACTGTAAATACCAACAGCTACCTGGGGACTCTGATTCACCTCATACAAATGAAGCTGTTGCATTCAGGTGTACCTTAGCTGTAGGTTACTGGGTTGGAGATCACAGACTAGATTTCAAATGAAATCCTGGAGCCATTTGAAGGAAGTGTCGGTGATTTTTGGTACCTGACGTGGTTAAACTGAAAAAGTGGACTCGTAGCTTGCTAATACAGAATGCTACGGTTTCGCCATGCTTAGTCAGCTTAAGCTCTCATCAGAGCTGTTTCATTTCTTTCAGTTTCACCAAAAGTGAAACAGTAAAAGCCTAATATGGAAATGCAAACCTGCATTTTGGTGATCTGAGATGTTATTAACACTGCAGGCCAAAGACTATAATTTTTTAAGGACTGTGTATAGCTGAGGTGGACTGCCTATGCTTGAATGTAAGACAAATGCCTAAAACCAGACATGGATCATGAGCTTAAGTTTGAGGTGATATGAGTTAGTGAATGCCATGGTCCTCTGGGAGTCAAGCAGCCTTCTGTAGCAAAGCTCTGCATAGCTTTTCAATATAACCAGAACCTCTGCTCAAAATATAGATTCAGGAGTCAGCCACTAATTATTAGCCCTAAGCAGCCCATGTTTTCTTTGAGTGACTAAATCTACTTAGAGCTCCCAGTTCAGACAGGCACTCAGGAGTACACTGAACTATAAGCACACTGTTTAAGTCCACCGACTTCCATTGGATTTAAGAGGTCTTTAAAGTTCAGGCTGTACTTAGGAAACCTACTGAACTGGGGACCTATGGAATAACATGGGCAGGTGACAGTGCTTTACAAAAGCAGTGCCAGTAGGAGCCAAGTGCTGTCAATTCCTCAATTCTACTGGCTGTACAAGGACATGGAAGGCTCCCAGTGTAAAGAACAGATTTGTTTGAACTGTGATTAGAACACAGCCTGGAGTGGGCAATGTGCTCATCCCTCTCTCTGTGTGTGTATACATGCTCTCCAGGCTGCTTTGCTGGTTCAAGGTGAGTTTTGTTGATGGTCACATCTAAGACTGTGAGACTTGCATAATGTATTAGAGATAGGCTACCAGTAGTATCATCACTTGTTTCACAGATAAGATAGGTATACTTTTCTGAGGAATAAGGAAACCATGTCAAGGGATTTCTGGATATAGCTGTGCAGTTGCCTAGTCTGGAACTATTCCATGCAGAAGTGTCAGGGTGTTAACCTGTGCTAGAACGTAGGTGAGCCTTTTGCAATTTTTTTCTGCTTAATTCCATTGAGCAGCTTTGCATGGAGTTTGTTTCCCAGGATACAAGCCCATATTCCTTGATTCCAGTGGTTTGTACCGTTTTTATCTGTTGCGTGTTATGTGCAGCGAGCAGATTGCTTGATCATCCAGTACATCAACTGGTTTTCATTGGTAACTGGGAAGGATGGATTCAATGCTGCGTAGGTGGCTACAGCAAGCTATCTATTTCCTGACACACAGACTGGTTTAGCTAGACCTCACCCCCTCAGAACCTGTCCATCTTTTCTGCTGAGAAATAACTGTGGCATGCACACCTATTGGATGTAATGCAGGCGCTGCTCCTTACACAGACATGCTGGTACTGATGTTAGGTGGGCATTAATAAACTGATGAAGCTAGTTCATCCTGTTGGGCAGGAGGAAAGGGCCCCCTTTCCCTTCTCCATCTGAATGAGTGTGGCTTTTCTTTGGGAAACTGGCAGACAGTCTGTTGGTTCACCTTCTCTTTGCCTCTTAGACCTGCTCAAATCCATCTGAAGTAGTTCTTGTGTTGGTCCTGAAAAGCCAGAGGTAAATCTTAACAGCAAAACCAATTCTTGCTACCCTAGCTAAGGAGAATGCAAACAGGCAGGGAGCTACAAAGGTGGAAAGCTGATTTTAGAGAACTATTTCAGCTAGTTTGATTGGGAGTATTATTAGCAACACAGGGCATTCGTATTAGAGCTCTGCTCAGGGGATAAATTTGCCATCATACCACCTGTTTTCCCTCTTGTTGCCAGAGCCACTCAGTGGTCCAGTAATAGCCTGACACACGGTGCTACCTGCTCTGGGGCCACAGTCCAGCAGCACGTCACACAGCCTCTAGAACTGGAGGTAGCAATGAGGCCTCTTGGGTGCACAATTGCCAATACAAAAGATGTGCTGATAGCTATAGATACAACATGACAGCAGCTCTCTTTAAAATACAGATGAAGATAAAATAATGGAATGACTCATTCAGTTCACCTCTGCAGTAAAAACCTTTTGAAGGAAGGTGCTTTTCTCACTAAATTATAATGCTGTGAAGACCTGGGTTTCAATGGACTCATCTGTCTGTGCTTCTGTATAGAATAAAGGGAGAAGTGTATTTATTGTGGAAACTGTATTTTTGTCTCTTCCAAAACACAACTGAAGTGCCTCCTCAGAAAGCAGAAAGGATGTTTGCCACATACAGCAAATCCCTCTTAGTGTTATGTTGTAACACTCAGCAAGACCAAGTCTCTTGCTCTTAGTTGCTCTGCACAACTCACTTTGGCAGTATTGTGTAAGTACTTCCGTACCAGTGTGAATGACAGTGCCTCAGAGGCTGTTTGCACTCCAATGTTCCATATTTAGGGTTGGGGTTTTTTGGAGGAGGTGGGTTAGGAATTCAGCAACTGAAATGCTTAAGGAACATCTTGGTGACTTTGGTGGGATTTGCATCAAACTCCTCTAGCTTGACCCTGCAAGCACCTGCAGCTTCTGCTAGAACAGATTTCCATCAGCATGCAGTAGTGGTGTCCCCACTGCTGTACACGTAGCTGCCAACACGTGCTGTGAGAGAAGCACACTGGAACACCTGGGATGCAGCATGCTGTTAAGATGTATGCCCAATACCAGGCCTCCACAGAGAGAGTCAAAAGGCATAAATGTACAAAGAGGCTTTTTGGTTTAACTCTGGTTTTCTTTTGTCCTTAGTATCGTGGGTTCCCTTTGATACACCATTAAGCAGTGCAGTTCCATAATGCACTAAACTCCTTGTTATGTTCCTAAGGCTTTTAAAGAAACCAATAGGCAAGATCTTGTTCTATCAGCTTCTGCTATATTAGGCTTATTTAAATGCAATCCTACTGTTCTCCATCCTTATTCAGTTCTGTTGGAGAAAAGATACCAAAATGCTTACAGGCCATTTAGCTTCCATTAAGCATAAATAACTGTATTTTAGCAAAGTATTATTTCAGCTCTGTGTCTACTTGTAGATACAATTTTTATGTTACAAACTGATTCTTTATTACAGGGGTAGCCATATTACCATCTGTCATACATGCATACTACCATGGAACAACTAGAATATCTATATGCCCAGTGTGTGAGTGCTAGGGGGTGGATCCCACACTCTCCAGGCTGAGGACCTCGTTACCCAACAAGGTGTCAGGAATGGCATGTTCTCCTCTTGGCCCAGGCAGCAACCCACTCAGTGACTTCAAGAACATTATCCTGCTCTGCATCTCCCCCTCCTCACCTGCAAAATAAACAGGGGGAATTCTTCACTTCCCTGGCATTAAGCTAGCTTATTAAGCAACAAACGTGTTGAGCTCTTTCCTGAGAAAGCACTGGAGTAATTCACATTTGTCTACTTAGATACAGCATCATGCTGCCAGTCAAGCTGAGCTGGTCCATTCTCTTGCAGAAATCCATAGGAAGATGAAATGTCACTTCACTGAATATTGGGAGACAACCAAACATATAACAAAGAAGAGATATACAGGAATTTTGTTTGTCTCATGGCCACTGGGGAATGAGAATTGGAAACAAGGGAAGTCTAGTGCGACTTTCCCTGGTTTATCCCAGCTTCTGGTAAGCAGCAGTTCAGGGGTGACTTGAGCAAGGATTTGCATTTGGATAATCACGTTTAATCAGCACTAATGGGGACATTTTCCACAAACTTGCTTAATCATTTTGTTTCTTAAGCTATTGATAGCACCGGGTTCTGATTTAATAGGTGGTGTGTGAAAAGAGCACTTCCTTCTGTTTCGAACTTGCCACCTTCAAGCTTTGTTTGCTGCTCCCTATTATTTCTTGTACTTATGAGAAACAGTGATTCATTGCTTCCTTACATTCTCTGTGATTTTAGAAACCTTGAGCAGATCTTCATGGCCCCTCCCTGTTGTTGTTCCCTTCAGTTCCAGGGAGTCCCATTCTGCAGGAGTGCAAGCTCCAAGCCTAGCACAGTGACTTGGCAGCAATGTGTCATTTGATGGTTTTAATCAAAGCTGTGCCTTCACTGTGCTTGCAGATTCCGGCAACTCATTGCTGAATATGAACCAGAAGTGCAGGAAGTATCCCGGCTCTTCCGCTCTGCCCTGCAGGAAGCTGCTGAGAAGATCAAAGAAGAGGAAGAGGCCAAGAAGCTTGCCAGGCAATGGAACACAAAGAACAAAACCAGCCTCTCCTTAACAACATTTAAATCCCGGTCCAGGATTTCCCCGTTCATCAGTGACATCAAGACCATCTCTGAGGATGTGGAACGGGGCACCCAGCCCACCAGGAGGGTTTGGAGCATGCCGGAATTTCGGAACGCCAAGGATTACTGACTCTATGTTGAATAAGGTTTTTAGATCTTTCACAATCCCAGTTAACTCTTTTCTAGCTCTACTGTTTGTTCTTTCTCCCTGCCTGTCTCTTCTCTTGGAAGCTGTGTCCATAGTGACTGCTGCTGATGCCCGCGGTGTGTGACACAATTCATGACCAAACATGCTAGCCTTTCCTTTAATTTAGTAGCTAATCAGTAACCTTAAGGGCAAGGCTCACTGACTGTCCTCTTTTTATGGCTGCTTTCTTGTGGGAAATGAATTATTTTGCGATGTCTGCCTTCTCCCTTTCCCCCCAGCCTGGATGTAGTTATCTAGAAAAGCTTTTGGCACAAGCTAGTGAGAGCTGCTGGCTGGACCAATCTTGCTGAAAGCAAGACAGCCACTTCCATGAGTAAGGCTTGCAGGATCAGGCCTGTGAGTTAAAGCTACTATCTGATTTGGAACTGAACTTCCTTTTCCAACTAATAAATAGCCTTCCCCAGTGCTACAGGAAACTTCACAGGTAACCTCAGCACTGCTCTTGATCAGCTTTTTGCTGACAACTCACAATCCAACCTGAGTAGAAACAGACCCCAAGCTTTTTGAGATGAAAGACCAATATTATTCCACAGCAACAAGTTTATGCATGCTCAGGTTTCTTGGGTATTTTCTCTTTTGTGCAGGCAGAACCCCCTGAACCTCGCACCTGCAGAGTAGATAGAAAGGTAACAACGTGCTGTGTAGATATACAGGCGGATACATCAGCGCTGTGTCAAATGCTGTTCTTGGTCCTCAGTGTTCTGTGTTGCTGAGGTAAGTGCTCCACGCCACATCCCAGTCATGAGGCAGTGGGCTGAAATGAAAGTTTATGGCTAAGCCTGAAAGAGTACTGAAGTGTAGCATCCATGTACAGAGGCTCTTTGTACAGCTGAAATAATTGAGATCATTTTAACAACCTCCTGCTGTGAGTGACTGAAGGGCTCTGGTAGATGAAGGTTTGTTCTCTGTCTTCCCTCACGGGTGCTCAGAAAAGAGCTTTTCAGTACCACAGGCTGTTGGCCAGTGGGTTGACACTATTATAAAAGATCCTAGATCTCATCAATGCAGGTCAGTATCTCAAAGGTGGTACCAAGAGGATGGGGCCAGACTCTTTCCAGTGGTGCCCAGCGACAGGACGAGGAGCAGTGGCCATAAACTGAACCACAACAAGAGTCACCTCAACACGAGGAAGAGCTTCTTTACGTGAGGGTGGCAGAGCCCTGGCACAGGCTGCCTGGGGGGGTGTGGAGTCTCCCTCTCTGGAGCCATCCCAAACCCACCTGGACACGTTCCTGTATGCCCTGTTCTGGGTGGCCCTGCCTTGGCAGGGGTTGGACGGGATGAGCTCAAGAGGGCCCTTCCAACACCAACCATTCTGTGAACCTTTAGTGTGAATGGAGTTAGCCTGTAGGCCAGCGTGGTTCAGCTGGGACCCTGAGGAAACAGGAAAATGCAGCTGAAGAAAAGCTGCTAGGGCCCTAACTCAGCATAGGTAGGGAGAGCTCTCACCAGCAAAGGAAAGAGAATAGGACACAGTGAAAGTCATGGGTCCTATGGAGAAGCCAAGGGCTGGGATGCTTCATAGTGACCAGTGGGAAATGAGAAAGAAAGATAGGGATTTCCCTGTATGACTGGCTGTTGGAAAATCATTCCAGTGGGGTAGAAGCTCCTGGAGGACCCTGGAGCTTTCTTGTTCTTTTGTCTGTTTCCAACTCTGTTCCCTGGGGATCTCTGCAGAAGCGTGTGGGTACTACAGCCAAGATAAAAGCCTCTGAAGCTGTGCCAACTCTGGGAAGAATTCCAGTACTAGAAATGTGCACTTTCCTTCAGAGATGGGGAGGGCAGCATAAAAACCAAGATCAAGATCAAGCCCTTAAGCGATCTCTAGGACTGTGGGATTCTGGCTCTTCCTCTCTCCCCTCTGGGATATCTAAAATTGAAGACAAGGATTTCTTACTAGCACCAGGCTGTAGTTTCTAGTCCCTTGGTAAAACACTGCTGTCAGCAACCCTCCTGGGGACAGAAAGCAGAAGCTCACCTTAAATGAAAACCTCAGGGCTTCCAAATACAGCATCCAGGTTGGGGTGGGCTATTTCACCTCTAGTTCAGTGAGGGAGAGTTTAAAGCCTTCTGACGATCAGCTTGGTGGTTTTCAGCTGTCTGTCCTTGTGAAGCAATGTGGTTGTGTGTATGAAGTAAAAACAAAGGCTTGACATACTTAGCATAGCCTCAGTTGTCTAAAAGATGGGGGATCTCTAGCAAGAGATTGCCACAATTTGCAGAAGAATTGTTATTTGGGAAAAAGTTAGTTTTATATATATATATGTATACACACATATATACATACATACATATGTGTATATATATTTGCAAGCCACTGGTGTGGTACCAAAGGCTGAGGTGAGTTAATGTATTTCAGGCTACAGCTCTGTAGTAATTTTATTTGCAGTTGCTTTTGACACGTTCAGTATTGATGCAATATTTGATGGACTGCTGGGAGAGACAGGACATTCTGACACACAGCTCTTTATTACAGCACAGTGTCTGTAACATGCTCACTCTTTCTTAAGGAGAGTCAGGAGTAACTGACTTCCTTTCACCAATGTACAAAGCCAAGGAAAATCGCCTGAAGCGTGTTCACGCTATCACAGCAGCCTGAGATCATACTGTGTCCTTCATTAACCACCTCCAGCTAGCAGCTACCATTGTCCTTTAACAGCCAGCAAAGGGAGACAACTCTGACCTTTGGTCAAAGCCATGGATGTGAGAGGCCAGCCTGCAGCAGTGCCTGCCACAGCTGTTCTGCCTCAACTTACCTATCATTTCTATTTCCTCAATAAAATACAATCCAAGCTTTTAAGCAGCATCATTCTCCCCGTACCTCTCTTCTGCAAGTTACACTCAGTTCACAGTAACATCTGATGCTAAAGGAATATTCAGATACCAAACTATGAGGTTTCTGTTCTCACTATGTGCTATCTAGTACTCTTAAAGGTATAGGACTAGTGCCCTGTTTGCCTGTAAGCTCACTGCTTGGAAACTGAGTGACCTGCACTGCATGTGCACCAGGAGGTGTGAAGCAGAGCTGGGGAGGGGGTTAAGATGCACAACTACTGCAGTGGGCTTGTGGTGCTCCTTCTTCTTAGAAATGCTGTAGACTGAACCATAGATGATCCTTTGGTTCCAGCAGGCAGAACAGCTATCAGCTCATGTTTGCTTTGCCTTTGTGTGGCTATATTGGCATTTTAGTTCAAACAGGAGCATGCAACTCCTAACTGTCCCCACCTACTGTGCTATGGTCCACGGCACTGAGCAGGCACAGCAGGAAACCAAGATTGCTTTTGGATGAAGCTAACCCATATGATCCATTGCAGCTGACTCACAAGCCACAGAGTTAGACTAATGCTGGTCTGAAAGAAACCCTCATGAAACGTGTAGTGTCCTCACTGACAACTGTCCAGCTCCTCCTGGGCTGCACCACGTGCTAGTGCAGGAAAAGAAACCTAAAGGCCAAAACATTTCTACACAGCTCTGATGAGACTCTCTAATCAGTTCTGAGCCCCTCCTGAGCACGAGTCCAGCATCTTAGTTCTTTAAAAGAATAAGAAGTGACATAGCAGCACAACATTGGTAACAAGTGAACTGAACAAGAATGATTGTTGGAACGAGATGATCTTAAGGTCCTTTCCAACCCTAACTCTTCTATGATTCTAAATCCTCAGTCGTTCTCTCAAAACTGAATAAGGATTTCAGTATCAGCCCAACTGCTGAAGCATTACACTATCCAGAGGACATTGTTAGACCCAGGAAAAAAGCCATCCTAGGCTTACTACACGTTCTAACAAGTAATGGCAACAAGTCCATAGCAGCTCAGCTGCAGTGCTCAGCTTCAAGGGACTAAGGCTCCTTGGAGTCACTACTCACCTCAGAGAGACTGCACCCCTGCTTCTGTGGCTTCTATGGACAAGCCTGACCCAGAGGCTGTGACAGAGGTGTGCAGGAGGTGGGGCTCCTCACCCCTATCACATGTAGTTCAGAGAGCTGTGATACCATGGAGAATCGGAGTGCCACGGGCAATACCTGTCTGCTGGGATTGCACTGTTTATACATTTCATCATGGAACCTCAGAGAATTAAAGCAAAGCTGTGGAACAGAACCCATGGTTTCAGACTTGTTTTTAATTAAGAATTTGAAATATAATCTGTTCACATCTATCCCAACACAACTGTTCCATTGCCCTGCTGTTGTGCACTGTGCACGTAGCAAACGAGGAAAGCAAGGACAGTAAAGGCACTTGAACTAAACAAAAAGCTCCATCTCTCTCTACAGGCTACAGATGCAGCCACTTACTTTCTGTCTTGCTGCCTCTGCCAACAGATGTCAGCATTTAAGGTGAGAAATAATCAGGATTAAACAACTGCAAAGGTCTGAAATTCTCTGAAGCTAAGTTGTTCACAGATACAACCTTGCATTGGTCTTCACCACCATGCTTCCAAGCACATCTTACTATTACCATGAAATGAGAAGCTCTAAGTGACTTCCGAGTCACTCCTGTTGATTCTGTACCTGATGCTGGGTAGTAGAAGACCTTAATACTAGCAATGGCCCCAGGTGGCTCCCTGCTAAGCATCAAGCATGCAAAACACGTACATGCTAAACAAAAGGAAGTATTTTGCTGGCGTAATGGATTGCATTGCTCAGCACATTGTGCAGGTCAGACAGATGAGAGGTTTGGAAAGAAGACTCTGAGTTCAGAGGGTTAGTAAACACTGTGGTCAGGATGCAACCTACAGCACAGGACTTAAGCCGCTCCTTGCCAGAAGCTGTGGACAACCAAATCTCTGTTGTTGCTTACACTCCTTCCCAAAACTTTGCTGCAGGCCTGTCCCAGGAGGAAAACCATAGACGGCTAAGCCTTGACTTGATGGCTATTCTGATATTCCTGCTGCCCCTCCCTGATAAAGGAACACTGCATTTTAGTTTAGCCCAAAAAGCATCCTGAGAAGCACTGGAGTGCATGAGTCAAAGCCTTTTCGGCTGCACCCTGCAATAAAGGAAGGGTTATTAGGCCTGTGCAGGGCAGAGACATCATGACCTTGGTGCCTGCCTTTCCCTGATACTGCCGCCCATGCTGTGGGCTGTCAGCACAAGGGACCTCCTGTTCCCTGTGTGTCTTGTCCCCAGACAAGCCATGTTTCAAGCTGGCTCACATCAGAAAGATCCCGTGCTGGCGCCGAGAGCTGGGTCTTGGGCTCACATCTCCCAGTGACTACCACGTATTTCCTGTGCAGTTGCTACACAAAGATACTCTTAAACTAAGGGGAAAAGCAAGATGAGATCTTACTAAACATGACAGAAAGATGAGAAAAAGGGCTACAAGAAGCATGGTGGATTATGTGGTGACTTAGGGTTATCTGTGTATACTGTATACTTCATGAAGTCTCAGGATCTTGGCTAGATAACCAGGTTACAGCATCTCACCTCTGTATTTTAGTCACAATCACATTTTGTATCTACCAAACCAATCCAGTCTGACCCAGTACAGGTACTGCAGAAGCGTGGGAGAGAGCATGGGTGGTTCCTACATCAGAGTACCTGCTCTCAGAACATACTTACTGTTACATATGGTTAGTGATCTCAATGCTATATTCTTGGAGGCCTTTACCAGGTCACAGTCCACATGCAGTGCCTTTTCCAACCCTATTCTCTGCAATGTCAGGTTGCCCAAGGCAATGGATTGCCCTTAAGTTTACTCTGAAGACTTCTTCAAATAACCAGATGTGGTATGAAGCAGTGACAGTGAAACACTCCTTGAGTATGGTTATCTTTTCTATATTCTGGCAGTGGTGCTTAAGAGATGGAGAAGAGCAGGGTGCAGCTTCTGAAGAACTCAGCAGCCCCAGGGAGGGATGGTGCAAGAACCCCTGGTCCTTCCACGTCCTGCTGGCTGTCAGCAACTTGCTCCTGTTGCATTCAACTGCTTAGAGGTTAAAGGCTTCCTTTTGCCTCTGGCACACAAGCACCAGCAGGAGAGACTATTGTCTGTCCACAGCACAGCCAAGAGCAAGGAGTTAACAAAGCCTGGATTAAATTCACAGGGCAGCATTAATAAATGTTCCCCATAAAAAAACACATAATTAGATCTTTGCAGGCTAATTATAGGTTTCAGAATAAGAAAGCGCAAAGCCAGTGTCCAAAGGTTAAAAAGAATTCCATTTCCATGATGGTCCAGCTGGACAGCAATGCCTCCTGCCGGCAGAATTCCCAGCACCCATTAGCCAGGAGCCAGGGAGCAGCTTTCTAACAAATACAGATTGCTCACTCATGCTCCCTTTCTCTCACATCACTGTCACCCAGGGAACAGCTCCCATGGGGAGAGCCAGGTGAGCACAGCTTAAACATTGTGCCTCTGTGGTCAGTGGTCTGGATATTAATGATGTTCTTCACACTGCTTGGAAAGGCTCAAAACATGCTTCCTTCCCTCAGAAAACACTGGGTGTTTCATACTCCTCATGAATCACAATGTAAGACTGAAATGTGACAGGCAGGAAAAAAAATACGTGTTGTCACCAGCCAAATAAACCACCATCTCCACACTGGCTCGTGATTGTGGTGATCCGTTTTGTCCAGAGGTGGAACTAGAAGGCTGCCAAGGACTATTGCCAATGGTTTTAAGAAGCAGCTCTTTGAAAGCTTATCACCTTATAGCGTCAAATATAACCAAGTTGCAGACTGGAGGACTTCCCACTACACCCGGGACCTCGTATCCTTCAGAAGAACCCACTACCACTTTAACCCAGCCATTTCATAGAGTGCCCAAACGACACTGGAGCTCCCACCCTTGAGAGCTGAGCAAGAAGAACGTTGGAACCTTGTTCCGAAATCCGCGCATTCCACGCGTCCTACAAAGCGGATCAGAGCTCCATCCAGTGGTCAAGGCGCCCACCCGCACCTCAACAGGGCAGGTTCAGCAGGTGAAACCCAGGGCAAGTTACTCCAGCCTCTGTGACCGCTGCTTTTCCCCTAAACCAAGAGCTCCCTCGGTTCTCCCTGCTGCAGAGGAGGGCTGGGAAGCACACGTATTCCTGCAGCGTGAAACATCCAAGGACATCAAATGCACACCAGCAGAACGCTCTTGAACAGGGATCAGAACCACAGGCCCTGCTCAGCACTGCAGGTTCAGCATCTTGGTCCAGCAGAGGCAAGTACCTCCAAAGCATTTATGCTTATTTTCCCATCTTGATCTCTTGTACATCTCTGCACAGGCAAAGGAGTCAGGTTCAGGCGAATCATAAAGGAAATGAGTAATAAAGAACTGCCCGTGAGAATTGGCTGAATCACGTAATTACTTGCATCAACCATTCCTTCACGTTTGGGGTTTTTTGCCTGTTTTCCCTGCATAAGAAAAGAAACTTCTCTAACTGTGCTCCATCCTCTTCTGGTAACTTTCACGTACCACTTGTACCAATTGCAGAGAAAGTTCCTTTCCTGCTTCATGACACTTACTAGATCCAGGAGGTCCAAATAAGCAATCCCTATCATGGGACCAGTGAAAACCAGGCAGTCCTTTATGCTACATTTCTGCCTGCCTAACTACAGCACACAAGTGGGAGGCAGCACTGGCATGGTAGCAAGGGCCTAAAGAGCAACTGGCGCAAACCCCAAAGGATCATGTCTTACTGATTCTGCTGCTTGTCACACAAATGGGGTGGAATACTTGGAAAGAATGGTGCCACGGATGATGGGCATGGGAGCAGCAGCTCAGAGAACGTATCCCTCCCCTCCTTCCCACCCCAGAGACTCCTGTTTCTGGAATTTCTGTCGTTAAAAGAAGTTCAGTTGAGTTCTGTATGATTCCCAAAATGGTGCAGAGACACAGAAAGCAGGCGTGATAGGGAAGCCTGTCACACACACACCAAAGTGGGTTTCACACCTGAAAGACTTCTACTCTTTAGCATTTTAGCAAGAATCTCAACTTGTACAGCCAGGTAGGCTTCTGCAGCCCCTTCCTTATCACCTGCCTTTGCCCCACTCCATGTCAGAACAGCAGCAGACTCCCTCCATCCCTACCTCAACCTTTTCTGTTACTCTGTTGTTCCAGCCTTCATCTTCCCCCACAATATGCACTATTCAGAGACCTGAGAGCAAGGTTCTCCATCAGCCATTTGCATATCAGGCTGACATCCCACGCCGCTTCGCAGCTCCCTCATGCAAATCTCCCCATCTCTATTTCATCACGTTCCTCTCCCCTTACTGTCACAACCTTCACGTCTGGTTCAGTCTTTGGTTCAGCTGCCACAGCAGTAATCTGAAGGAGTATTAGGAAGCTATGCCTTAGCAAAAAGGTGAACAAAATGAACTTCCTTCTGGCATGGACGATTATTGTGGCTCTATGGGCCTGTGCTCACTACAGGGAGACTGGAATCTGTTGGCCAGCTCCAAAGAGCAGCCTCAAAGATACTCAGTCCCAAGAAGATGCACGTGATCTCAGTGCTTGGGAAAGATGGGGAGGGAAGGATGCAACATGAACTCTTCAGCAACCTGAGAATCTACGTGGAGACGGGTAGGAAAGAAAAGGAGGTTTATAAAGGGAGCACCTGCTGGGAAGTTCCAGACAGCACTTGGAACTGACTGGGCAGGAGAGAATAAAACCTAATCACTGCCATAGAGCTTACGCAGCTTGGCTTTCTAAAAGAAATGGTAGCTCAGAAGTAAATGCACAGAAATACCTTAAAGCATCAAAGCACATCCAACATGTCAAAACTGAACAGGAAAAGATTAGTCTGTCCTGAAACCGAAAAAAGCTTTCTGTTTGCCTCTTTAAAGGAAAAGTGGTCTGACTCATTTTTGTCCAGAGTTCACAACTACCGAAACCCTAAAAGAGGAACAGGCCGCATCGTATTACCAAAGGTCCTTCACCTTTTCCATACTAGAATGGAGCAGTGAGTGAGTTTTGACCACCTTAACTGATCCCAAATAAGACAGCAAGACACAGATTACTTCAATTAAGCCTGGACCTTCCAGCCAATGCCATCCTTTACAAGTGCAATTTCTGAGTTTCCCGTTCCTATTTATTTTCCATCTTTTGAATGCCTACTCCCCCATCCCCCCTGTTTTCAGGAAAGGATACTATCTTTACACAGAACACAGCCTAAGGAATGGCAAGGATGTTAAGTGTTTTGTAAGAGTGTGTTCGGGATTAACCTTGTAAAGAGAAATCCAGAGATAAAAGCTGCTTACCCGGGCAAGATGCTTTGGCATTCCCAGCTAGAAGATACCAAAGCAGCATAAATCAAAGCTTAATCCCCATGAAAAAAAGAAGGAAGAGGATTGTTTTTTTCTTTGTTTTTTCCCCTACTGACATTTCAGAACAGTGCTTCCAAAACAGCTTCCAGCACCAGGCTACAAGTCAAGGAAAGTCTAATTCTTACCCTGTTTTCATGGCTTATGTTGATAAAACTTGCCTTTCTGGATCAGGGCCTTCGTCTCTAAAGAGCTGTATTTCTGCAACAGTTGCACAAAAGTACCCCTCAACAACCAAACTGAACCAAACCCAGGGAGAAGACAGGATTCCAGCAGCCTCAGGTTTCACACACCAAAACAGTCCTAAAATGATCCCTTGAGGAATGGTACAAACCTTCAAGATTTACTTAAAACACCAGGGCAGACACAAAGTTTTGCATTGGTTTGCTCTTTAATGAACTCCCACACTCTGACCACTGCACACCCGATGCTCCTGTCAAAGTCAACCACCCCAGCCCCTTTTATCAGGCATTCCTAAACCGTGGCTCCCAAGGAGCACTTGCTACCCAAGGGATTCAAGTGGAATTCCCACCTCAGGGTCATGTACACTGGGGCCTGCTGGGTGATCAAAAGTCAAGAGCCTGGAAGTGAGCAAGCACTGAGCAAACTATCACACACACACACACACACACACAGAGGTTATGCTGGGGTCCAGCTGCATATCCAGACCTGGCTTATCTCCCAGCATATATCAGGAGGGTCACTGTCACTGCCTGCCTTGGCATCATTCCTACAGCTCTTTCTCTTCCCGTTAGGCTAAGACATGTGGATGTGTGTCCTGCTGCACTTCACATGGAGGAAGATGTGATACACAGCCCATGGGATCTGAAAAGGCAGCTGGAATTCCAGAGGTTTTAAGTCTAGGAAATGCAGCTCCAGATGTGGGGGGTAAACTAACTGTTGCAAGCTGCCTTTGAATAGCTGATCCAGATAAGACAAAATCAGAGGCCCTTCCTGCTTCTATTTCACAGTAAAAATCATTCAGCTATCATTATTGCTCTATTTTACTGTTACACTTTCTAGTGAGAGAGAGCAAGAACCTGTCCAGAGAAAGATCCTAGCTCAGATTCTGAAAGAAAATAATCTATCAGTGAATGAATTGCCAAAAACTCATTTATGTAAAAACACGTTCTATTTACAAAGGTCGGTTTGCTCTTCAGGACAAGTAAAAGCACCACTGGAAAACACAAACATACAGAAATGTGTCGGCTTTCAGACATTTACTAATACACTGCTTTGCTTAAACTACTAGAAACATGAAGATACTTGAAATTAAGAGTATGTTCTGCATGCAGTTCGGATAGAAATTACATTACTAGATTTCAGTGTGTCATTTATCATCAGTGCCACACTCTTAGGCTCTTCTAAAAACACCACAGCCTAGCTATTACCTTAGGATCTCAAAAGGAGGACATGGATCTTCATTAGCATGTTATCGATTACTCTTAGCCATTAAACAAAGGACATCCCGATTGTCTTCTCAGCAGGAGAGTCCGCTCTTGTCAAACTTGATGTCCTTTTCCCTGAGGTTCCCTTTAGTGTTTCGCTAGGCATGAAGATTGTTGGCTTGGTATAGTTACAAGTCCTGGCTCAGCACTCTTCCCATTACAAGGCAGAGTTCAGGAATTCAAGGAGCTGTGCACGGTTCCGGTCCCTCTGTAAAGCAGAAAGGCAGAGGCAGTGGTTTAACAGACCTGTTCCGAGTGGAGCAAGGCAGCGTAACGCTGCTTGCTGTGGGGCTTTCACATCTCAAGCAGCACAACTCTGCTTATTATGGGGCTTTCACCTCTCAGCACACTGCACAGCAGGTGCTACCACATTCACAGAGCTGGGTATGAGTAGCTACCACTTTGCTGTGTGTGCCTGGAGAAATGCAAAGGAGTGGGTGCTCAAGAGAGATGCTACAGGAGACAAGCTGTCACTGTCACTATTTCATGATGCATTTTCTAACCGTCTCCCTCTGGAGACCCCACTGGGTTGTCATCATGTAGCTCACAGCTTGCTCAGGAGGGGGCTTGCAAGCAGAACCAATGCAATTCTCTGGTGTCTGCGGCAATGTTCACTGTAGGCACAGCAGGTCTTGTGCTTTGGGAAGTACTTGTTGTTTCCTATGCATAAACAGGAGCTTGCAGCGTAAAAGACATGGAACCACAAATTTAGGATCTTTCTGTATACAACAGATGGCCCAAACAGTCAAAACACTTGTTTCCAGTGGTTTTAGGCACAATTTACAAAACAACTATTGAATCTCAAAATACAGTGAAGAATGGATGTTGTTCAGTTCAGCATGTTCATGGCCACGGGCACCAAACAAAAAAGGACCAACACCAAATATCTGATATCAAATACCATAAGGAGCAGGTTACTAGGATAAAGCTGCAAAGCATTCAGCATCATTTAACACAAACTTCAGTGCCACAGAAGGAAGCTAATGTCTTTTTGATCAAATTTAACTTGGAATACTCAGGTCTGCTTTGACAGCTACAGAAAATGCTCCATCCCTGGCAGTGCTCAAGGCCAGGTTGGACGGGGCTTGGAGCAACCTGCTCTAGTGGAAGGTGTCCCTGCCCGTGGCAGGGGTTTGGAAGTGGATGATCTCAAGGTCCTTTCTAACCCAAACCAGTTTGGGATACTATGAATCAGAACCTGCCAAAATGAGTATCTCAGCAAAATAACACTTTTAACACATACTGACTAGTACCAGAACCCCACTGCAGATCACGCTACGGTGTGGAAACTGATGAGAAGAGCAAGCACATTATGTAAGCACTGAGTCCAAACACCTCAATGGCACAAAATTATATTCATGATACCTATTTTCCAGAGTACTTCAGCAAAATCATCTGACTACTCTGAGACAACGCATGAGCATGTGGTCCTAACACTACTGTTGTCTAATTCCTCTCTGAATGATGGCTAATCTCCCATGTATTAGAAAAACACAGTAAAGCAACAATTACCACCACAAAGGACTGGATGAAGATGAGGAAAATGAAAACCAGAGTAAATTAAACCAACAGAGAAAGCCACAAATCAGCTAAACATTCCAGACTGCAATTCTAAGAACCTGCACAAGCATCCTTCAGTTATCTACTCATGCCTCAGTATTCCAAGCCCACTCATAACACAAAACCTGCCAAAACAACGAATTAGAATTCCTCAGATGGCATCATAGCCACATTAAGAGTTACACACAGTTTACAACTCCTAGCTAAGAGCTACGCTTCAACAAAAGACTAGTATTAGAAAGCTATTAAAAGATACAGTATTTTCCTTTAGGGATTTACAGACTATTTTAGCTCTTACCTCTAGGTCCTTCTTAGTCTTCTTTATTCTCATCTTAATTTTCTTTCCAGTTATCATGCTGTAGTTTTCATTCTTCTTTTTGTTTTTAAAGAACTACAATGAGATCACACATCAAAAAGACCTCAGCTTTGCTTTATTCTGTAATGTTGCAAATCTCAAACAAAATTACAGACAAGATTCCTTTGTATTTCCTCATTGTCCCAAACAATAGAGAGAGGTTTCTATCTGTCAGCAGCAAGACTGGTGGTGTTATAAAGATTTTTATGACAGGACAGATTAAGCGTTTAGATGAGAAATATAATGGGACTTCAGACTCGTATGAGCATACCTTGGAAAGTTGGACAGGTCCTGTTTTCTCTTTCTTCTTCTTCTTTTCTTTCTTTTTCTTCATTTTGCTATCTTTTTTCCTTTTCTACAAGTATGAGACATATACTGTTATGCTTACAGACTTACAAGGGCAATAAAAAAAGGATATCCACAAGTAGCTCTCAACACCCCAGCTAGTCAAGACAGCCACTACTGCTTGCCCTTTCCACTGCTGAACAGCTACTAGCTGAAGTGCACAGAAAGTAATGCAGCAGTGTTAGCAGCCATCAGGATCTTGAGAGTCTGACCCATGTTCTGTCTCTTTCAATGTCACCCAAATACACAAAATCACTGAACAGAAGGCCCTAATGAAATGAAAAACTACAGCAGCAAGAATCTATTACTCTCTCACTGACTATAACTTGTTTCTTCTGACAAATTCTGTAATGTTATCCAGATTACCCACTCCTCTTTTCTTCAGAGACTACTCTAAACTCTAGCTGGACCAGCAATGATTGGCAAAAGAACCTTTGTATTATTTCTCCCTTAGTACACAGACAAGTATATGTGAACCTATCAGTTTACCTCCTGTAACCCTAAAAGGATGACTCAGATTTACATAGCCACTGGTTATCAAAAAATGAACTATTTTCTGTTGGTTAATGACTTATTTCTCTCTGGCAACGTTTACCTTTTTGTTGTGTTTTTCCTTTTTCTTTTTCTTTGATTTAGACTTAGGAGAATCTAAAATTAAACAAAAGAAACCCCCGTAAGTTTAGCATTCTGAAAAAGGCATTTGGTTTCACAGATAAAGCATACAGAAATGCACAATCCGAGAAGGAAATGCTCTGATTCAGCTATATGTGTGTGTATATATATATATTAACACTGGCTGAAACTAACCCTGGGAAAAACAAGACACCAACTTACTGCCACTTACTGGTCTAACATGGAAACTGAAAACACCCGATTTACTCTGTGATTACTTGTACCACTGATTACATCAATAGAGACAATACTTCTCTCTCCTCCTCTGCAGCTGTGCTCAACAGACTGCAAATACCGGCTTTCTTATAGGCAGGGATCCTGACTCTTAAAGGAGGCAACAAAAAGTACTGTTGGGGCTGACAAACCATTGAAAAGAGTATCACTGTTCAAGGCGAACAAAGAACTTTTTGTACCTGCCTCAGCTCACCTTCCAACTTCAAGGGGTTTTGGTACATTCGGGAACGCAGAAACTCACCAGTTCTATAAGCCACTAACAGTTTTTACACTGTGACTCATACGTGAGGAAGTTGATTTTGAAGCACCAGCTTTGACTATAGGATCGCAAATCTACAGAGAGTGTGAAACAGCTTCCCAGTCTCCCAACAGACTGCCTCTGTGCTATCAGCTCTGCAGCATCTTTACAACAAATTCCAAACAGAAGAGAACATTACAGGAATATACCAGAGCACAGCCAGACTCAAAAATCAGGAAAACCTAAGGTAAGGCTGCCCAAGCAATCTTCTTCTGGCCTTCTAATGATAAATGCAGCACAAGCATATCTGAAGAAACTATTATTATGGTAATTCTATCTCCATGTTCAGTCTCTTGGTAACAATGGCCTGGACAACATGCCTCCATGGGATGGATGGTATACCTGGCCAGAGGGCTTTCCCAGATGCTTGCCAACATCAAGAAAGGGGCTCAAGAACACTGGGTTTCCTTCCAGGCTCTGAAAATCAGTGCACTGTAGTGAACAGCCACTTGCCCAGTTTTACCCCTTTGCCCACATCTCCTCCAGAGTCATCCTAGCCACGGTTCTCATGACCACAAACACGAGAAAAACCCCTCTAGACTTCAGCACTGAACTGTTGACTTCTTAGGCTGAGCAAAGCCATCTCTTTCCCCTGTTCACTCATTTTCAGTTGCCATCCCTCCCCACCCAGCCTCTCCAACAGCTCCACCTTCCTCCATACTGGGTCCACCCTACCTCCCCAGTTCTAGCAGTGATTTACCTGCATGTCTCCTGTCTGAGGGGTAGTGACAACTACCTCCACCCACCTATCTGTCTTAGCTCAATTACCTCCATCTTTTTCTGTCTAGATGAATAGAATTGTATAAACACACCCTTGTAGGACCTTTTTTCCTTGATCATCTGCTCTCCCCTTTAAATGGGAACACAGAGGGAATTTCTAGCTGCAGGTTTAGCAAACCTCTCAGCATGTCCACTGACAACTTGAGCCTAATTCTGAATGACTTTTTTGCCTTAGATACACATGCCTTGACATCTCTCCACAAACTGGAGCAGGGGGCATGGCAAGCATGTTCACAGTCAGTGGCTGACAGGACACTGTAATCATGTTTACAAGTTTTAGAGGGTATCACATGGGATAAAAATCATTCCAGCAGAAAACACCTCCCTCCAATGTGCAAGCTCATAGATTTGAATACTTTCAGGATTTCTTTATGTCAGACTCACTGAATCAAGCCCCTGAAGTAGAACAAATACTATTTCCATGCAGATGTAAATCTGCTTCAAGAGAAGCAGAACTAAGTCTTTGTTAAACACATATATCACAGATACGAGGTCCTGCCAACCTGATGTTAGACTGTCCATCAGGAGAACTCTAGCTCATACGGAGCTCTTCCTGCTCACAGTAAAAAGGATAATATCCTTTTCAGTGTTTAACATGACAAATTGTACTAAAAAATGGCAATTTGGACACTTTACCTGCAGTGACACCAAGTACCCTGAGACAGAACATGAAGGCAATGCAGTCCTGATACAACCAGTAACGTGTCATAAGTTATAGCCATAGAAAAACCTGCACTTACTCCCAGATAGTATCTACCCCAGGTTCTCTAAGTAAGCAGCAGCTTAGTATGGAAAGTCTTAATCCTGCATGTGTGTTCCCACTGAACTTGGTCGCTGGTTTTAACACACCTCACACGAGTCCTCCAAGTGAAACACTTGAAATGTTAAGACCAAAGTAAGACTAAAGCCAAAAACCCAACTCAGGTGCAGACAGATGGGTGAAGCAGAAAGAGATCCGTGTTTTGAAAGCGTAACAAACACAGTTTTAAACCTATATGGCACACTGTTACAAGGGAACACTTCTCTGAATGACAGTTCCTACTCTGAAGTTAACACGAGAACATTGCAGAGGATGTGTAAAGAGGGACCTTCACACAGCAATAGGAAAGGGTTAAGAGAGAAGCCCCCTGGACACGCAGCACTGGTATTCCACATTGCTCTTTTGTGGTGCTTCAACCACACTTGAAATAAGCTTTTAACCATTTCCAGGAGCGCTGTCAACACCGCTGAACACGGTGTGCATGCAGGGACATAGCTCACCTCTGCTACTTGAAGATGACCTCGATGATGAGCGTGATGAGGAGGAAGAAGTGGATGTAGTGCTAGAAGCCGATGTGGATGAAATGGACGATGATCTGCTTCTACTGCGCTTTCGTTTCCTTTTTTCTTTTCCTTAGGATAACAGAAGGCAACAGTGACAAGCATCCCAGCAACTGTGCGACTCTTCACAGAATATAAAACATGATGAGCCCCTCTTTCAAGGGGTTTTGCTCCCCTCTTCCAGTGTGACATAGTCTATTCCCGTATCAGCAAGTGGCAGTGTTCAGTATCAGGGTCACACGCAGTGACTGATAAAGGGTCAACACACATAACAGCGCAGCATAGAAACAGGTCAGCAGTGCCTACCTCGGCCTTTCAGCCCTTCTTCTGCCGTTGCACAGCACGTTCTACTCTTTTCATCCTCGCTGTCACCCATACCTAGTGACGGGCAACAGCACAGTGACCACCACCATTGCCATTGCCATTGCCGTATGATAGCCGCGGGGGGGGGGGCGCAGGGGGCACACAGCGGAAGCCCGCGCGCCCCTTCAGGGCAGCCCCAGCACCCCCCGCCGCGGCCGCGCCACGTCCAAGCTCCCACCCTGTCCCCCGGGAACTGGAGGCCAAGCCAGGTTAGTGCCATCAGTGACCGGGCCCCAGCACCCGCGCCTGGTGTCACCGGTGCTCGCAGGGTCCCACCGAGGGAGGAGGAAGCCCGAGGGCCCGGGGCCCGCGTCCCGCCCGCCCCACGCCCGCCCCGCCGGCCGGGCCGCACCCGGGGCACACCGGTTCCCACCGGCTCCCACCTGCTCCCGGCGGCCGAGCCCGGTGGGGCCTCACAGGACGTCCGTGCCCGATTCACCCCGGGACGGAGCCGGCTGCCGCCGTCCGTACCGAGGACCGGCCCAGGCCCCGCTGCCGCCCCGGAAGCGTTGTCGCGGCCCGGCGCCGCTTCCTGCCCGTGGGGGGGTGGGCCTGGGCCTGAGGGCCGGTTCCTGCCCCGGGTTCCGCGTTCCCAGGCGGCTCAGTCCGCGGCCTTGCCCTGCTGGCCGGGCCCCGGGGCTGCAGCACAGCGCTGCCGGCCCGGCCTGCCCTGCCCTCCTCCCGGGGTGTGAGGCCGAGCGCAGTGCGCCCGAGCGGGCGTTGGGGTTGAAGCCGGCCCGCCCTGCCCGGCCAGCACCGCCTCTGCTCGGTGCCCCGCCGCTGGCACAGCCCAGACCTGCGCCCAACTTAAATAACATCCCCTTTTGATCCCAGGGAGTCCTCGGACCTCGTGGGTCTGATCTAGCTTAGCTTGGAATGTACTGAATGTCTGCGTGCTGCTTTACGGTATTCAAGTGTAAACCAAAATCTCTGTGAAGTACATGGGTTCCTAATCTATAGCAGTGTTGGTTGATTGTAAACAAATATCCAGTATTCCACACCCTTCTAAAAAGCCTGATTAAAAGCGTGGAGAAAAGGGACATGAGATGGCAAGAGTGTGATACTAGTCTATACTAACCGCCTTCTGTTTGGTTTGAGTTAAGCGATAGCATTCTTTGTCTGTTGGTGCTTTTCATTTATGAGGTTTGTGTTGAGTCCTGGGGTAAAGGTTAGACTTTGATAAAGGTCAACCCTGTGATTCTCTCCTATGGGAAGGAATATATGCCACAAGCACTCGAGCAGGATGGTAAAATCCTTTATTCTTATGGTAGTTTATGTGCACAGTGATGGCATTTGGCTAGAAAAATGCCTGGATTGTAGCAAGAGATCCAAACAACTACAAAGTGTGCATAAATACATTAGAAATACACTGTGTGTGATGCAGAAATACCCGGCGCTCTTTTGGGCACTCACCCAGTACAATAGGATTAGGAGGCTTGTTGGTGTTTTTCATGCGACATCAAAACCCTTCCCGACAGTCCATGCCACACAACACTGGTTTCCTTGTTAGCAATGGGATGAAATTTAAACTTTGGTTTACAAGTAGTAAAAAAAAAAAAACCAAACCACTGAAAATTTTAACATAAATCTCTCAATTGTTGTAATAAAAAGAACAAATCTGAAGAAGGCTGGCTTTAAAAAAGCCCGTTTCCTCAGCTAACACTATAAAACAGGCAGTGTTCCGGGATGTTGCCATCACCCAGGATGAAGAGTTTGTGCTTCAAAATTGGAAAAGGAATATCCATGGCAAAAACCCATAAACCCAGCTGGGGGTAGAGGAGGGATTGTGGTACAGACCGGTTAAAAGCAAACATGCTTCCAAAACCTATCTAGGAACACACTTAACACCCACATCACTATGCCATCCCCTACTCTATAATAAAGCTCTATAATACTACATAGCTCTTTTCATGCTCCAAACTCTTCACAAACATTTAAATAGCCCTAACGCTTCTGCAGGTGGTATCATTCCCGTTTGATACTGCTGGGGGTGGAGGCAGAGAGGGCTGGGAATTTGCCAGGATACAAACCAAATCTTTTCTGTCTTGCCTCCCTCAACTGTCCAAGTTCTTTATCGCTTTCTTATTTTACACTCAACATACTGGAGAATCCCAGGAAAAAGGGGTGGTGTGTTCATTATTAGTGGTTATCCTGCAAACTGGGCCGCTTTGAAAGGTATGTGCCGAATAGTCAAGTAGTAATTGACATGCCCGAGGCTCAGGATTGATGGCCTAGAATGCCACACCATTTTCAAACCAAGCTTGCTCTTTCTGTAGTGAAGCATTAGGGACACGAGGCCTGATTGTCTCTGTTGTAGGGCCCAAGTGACTCAAAGTCACAGCGGTACAAGGGGAATAAAATCCATTCCTTACCCTGTGTCTGTGGGAACATGGAAAACCCTATGGTGACCCATACAACACCGTACAACATAAAGAACATGTAGATCAACCAGAGATTCCAGATGTGCTAACCCACTGTGAGGTACAGATAACCAACCTGCCCCTGAATTCAAACACATCCATGGCTGAATTACATCTTAGAAACCATGGGGGAAAGTCAAGGCCTAGCAGTAGGATGGCAGGTACAAAATACGCGGTGTTTTGCCTTCCTCTTGCCATCAGTCCCCAAATCATGTTATTTCAGTTATCAACATCCCTCAGAGAAAGGGTGGTTTTGGTTCCGCCACATTTGCTCTCTTGAACTCCCTTCCTCATAGCTTGTAGTCTGTGCCCTGTGTTGGTGTTTATCCTGCCTAGTCTACTGGTACTCAAAGCCCAGCTTGATTTCTTGCTGTCTCTTGACAAGCTCCAGTTTTGCTCTGGCAGTGGACTGCAGGAGCAATGGATAACGCTGTGGTGTTTCACTACCTGGTCTGTGAGAGGTGAGAGGCACAACATTCTGTCACTTGTAACAACAAAATGAGCGAGTGTGCAAAATTACATCCCTCTTGCAGGCACCCAAAAGGCTTTACAAAGGCACGTGTGTTGGTTATCACTCATTCTTCAGTGCCTGCTGGTGGTGTGGTGGGTTTAGTGCATCTCCAATAAACCCCATGCAATGCCTGCATTCCCTTGCAGTATGGAAGGAACCTGGAATAGAAATGAACACCTTCAGACATGCTTCATAGTTATCAGTTGTTACTCAGTGGCTATCTCGCCCTTTAACTAATGCTAGAGCTGCCCAGCCTGTGAGAATGGGGCTCTTACAGCAACCTCACTTCTAAACCATTTCCTCCCTTCTTTCCCAAACGTCTGAATTCCTAGCAGAGGGAAATAGTGCATGTTACATGGGCTTTTTCTAAGCAGATACCCAAAGCTTTTCCTGCCTTTTGGAGAGATGGTAAGCCAGAAAACATCTCTTCTGTGCAGATGGGGGAGCAAAAGTACAGGAGTTGTGCCCCTCTTTGCCCAGCTGGCCAAGGACCCTGCTTCTGGCCATGTCCTGAGAGGTGAGAAGCACCTGCAGCTTCTTTTGACTTCAGTGGGGACTGTAGATATTTAACACCAGTGGAAATCAGTCCCAAGGCACTAGGCAGGAATGGAAAGGACGTAACAAAGCTATTGTGAGCTGGGAGTACTCTATACAGCTGAGATACCAGGCTAGAAAAGTAAGAGGCATTGGCATCTTCCTCTGGGCTTTCTGGAAAACACAGTTACAACAAGAAAAGGTGCAAAAATCCAGGAGATGGGGGGATCAAGGTACTTTGATTCAAACGTGCTGCTGTTGAAATGCTTCCATTTCAGACAGGTGAAATGCAGTTGCATGCATGGGTAAGGCTTCAGTTCTATGTGAATGACAGGAGCCCACAGGCCTGCTTGGGCTCCAGGGAGCTTACTGGAGGAGTTTCATTTCCAAATGCCAGTCTGGTGATGGGAGCCAAGGATTCCCCCTAGCTTGGGCTGAGCCGAGAGTGGATCAAATGCATGTTGCATCAAACTGGACTTCCAGCTGTCTGGAAAATGCAGTCTGGAAAAAAGGGTTATAAAAGGGAAGGAAGTCTGATGCTTTGGCACTTTATTGCCTGTTACGCAGTCCAAAAGCCTCAAAACAGTATCAGTGTCTTGACTAGTGATAATTTAGTATCGCATGGCTGGTGGTCACCAAGAAAACATTCCTTGTTGGTTAAAGCAGTCACACTGACCAGGAGCGCTTTTCACAGCTCCTCCAGATCAGTTAAATCCACAACCACTTTCAGAAAGAGAGTGTCATCTCTGATGTAGGTGTTCTTTGTGTTCTCCAGGACCGCGTGTGGCACGAAGCGTGGGCACCCGGAGGCAATATTCATCTCTCCATCCGGCCTTTTGAAGCTGCTGCTGTTGGGGTCGGCTCGAAAGACTTCCACAATGTGATTTTTTTTCCCACTTTGGTCCAAAAGCATAAGTGTGACTTTTTGCTTGAAAGGCCACAGTAGCAGCGAATCGAACTCCCCTCTCATCACTACAAAGTAAAGGGAGACGTGCGTTCCCTTCCCTGAGCCATCCCCGTTCAGGTAGGCTCTCGCACACAGCCGGTACCCGCAGCGGCTGGTGTAGAAGGGCTGGCTGAATATGGAGAGGACGCGGCCTTCCACTGCTTCCTTCTTCTTCGTCTTGTAGTCTGTGATTTTCCAGATTAATTTCCCATTGTAGCACGTGCCTTCCAAAAGCTTAAAGCGTTCTTCGTTTTTATTGAGCTGTGCTTTGTGAATGTTGATCTGGAGATCGTGTTTGCTGGACTGGCCTTCCAAAACAACTAGGGGAGGAAGAGAGAAATGGTTGGTAAACTAAAACTGGCTGAGCACTGGATACAAAGAGCAACTGGACCCAAGCTATTGCTATCCAGCGGGACTCAGGCAGGCTCAAGAGGGGGTCCATGTGAACCTCATGAGGTTCAACAGGGCCAGGTGCGGGGTCTTACACCCAGGTCAAGACATATCAATACAGGCTGGGAGATGGAGGGATTGAGAGTATCCCTGAGGAGAAAGACTTGGCGGTTCTGGTGGATGAAAGATTGAACATGACCCGGCAGTGTGTGCTTGCAGGCCAGAGGCCAGTTGTATCTTGGGCTGCATTCAAAGGAGCATGGCCAGCAGGTCAAGAGAGGTGATTCTGCCCCTCTACTCTGTAATACTGCATCCAGATCTGGAGTCCTCAGTAGAGGAAAGACATGGACCTGCTGGAGAAGGTCTAGAGGAGGGACAGAGAAATGATCAGAGGGATGGAGCACCTCTCCTGTGAGGAATGGCTGAGAGACCTGGGGTTGTTCAGCCTGGAGAAGAGAAGAATCTGAGAACTTACTGCAGCCTTTCAGTTCTTAAAAGGGGCCTATAAGAAATATGTGGACTTTTGAGCAGGGCCTGTTGTGACAGGACGAGGGGTGATGGGTTTAAACTTAAAGAGGGAGATTCAGGCTGGATGTGAGGAAAAAATTCTTTACAATAAGGATGGTGAAACAGTGGCACAGGCAGCCCAGAGAGGTGCTGGATGCTCCATCCCTGGAGACATTGCAGGCCAGGCTGGATGTGCTTCTGGGCAACCTGATCTAGATGAAGACGCCCGTGCTCATTGCTTCCAACCCAAACTATTCTGTGCTTCTATGATTCCATGAAACTGAACTACTCAAGCCTGAGTAGAGGTTGTGAGCTTGTGTTACTGCAGCTATAAACTTCTTGGAAATGTAATTGCAGCTGGTAATTGAACAAGGAAAACCGGTGACTACAAACCACATTTAATGCCTGAATATGGACAGCATGCTGCCTCCATCACAGGGCACCAGCCTCACCAAGGCCCCTACAGTGCCACAGGAACTCGTGAGCACAAAGCACACACCACTGTGGGTTTGTCTTAGAAAGCAATAAGAAAGCTCTTTCTACTGAAGAGCTGCACTGAGTGACTGTAGCACCAGAGCCTCTACTTAGCCAGTAAATCAGCAAAACCCCCATACCTGTGCAGAACAGGATGGGAAGTCACAACATACCCAAGCGCTGATCGTATGTCTCCATCAGGGCAATCTTCTGTTTTACATTCTCAATCATGTCGAACAGAGGTTGCAAATCTAATTTGCTTTGCTGCTGGTTTGCCATCTGTATTAGCTGTTTCACTTGTGACTCCAAGCGTGCAGATTTATCCAGGTGACTGGCCAGAGCCTTCCCAGTTCATGCCATTGGAAGAGGGTGGGAAGTGAAGACAAGAGGCATCCGTGAGGTCAGCCATTTCATTTAAAACAAGGTAAAGAAGTCTTTAGCATGTCAGCAGTATCAACTATACGATGTGTTCCAAGTGCTCTGCTGGCTTAGGAACATATCCCAGTGCTCCTTCATGATTAATTCAGCACATTTACTGGAGGAGAAGCCATACCTCATTCAGACCCATTCACACTGCATCACTTCACCCAACTGATCATTCACATTTACACCTGGCATCTTTGACACAGAGATCTGACCAGGAGGATTCGTATGGTCTTAAGACAACAAGAAGGGCTTGGGAAGGGTCTGGGAGATCTGTTACTGCCCTGCTATTAATGACAGCTAATACTGGAGAAACATAGTTCAGGATGCAAGAAAGCAACTGCAAACCAGATAAAACCAATGTCTCACCTGTGTGCTTACCATCAAGTTGCTATTTTTACCAAGCAGTTGTGTAAACTGTCTCAGTTCTTTCTCACACTTTTTAATGGCCTCCGCTAGCTGCTGGATTTTAATCTCTTTGCATTCCAGGCTCTTATACAGGTCAGTTATCTATTGGGTGGAAAGAACAGAGTGAAAATGTGAAGGCACACCAAAATGTACAGCAATCAAATTAAGACATATGTGACTATATAGGAGAAAGTGGAAGAGTTTACAATGCAAAGCCTCTAAGGTAGCTCATGGATAAGCACTGGCAAGAACTGAACATGAGGAAATCATGCTCTTTAATAGATCTGTGTGGCAACAGGCGCAGAAAGACTCATACCCCTCATCCCCATCATGATAAGCCATTTGGCTCTGTAGTAGAATAATACATGCACACGTGTATGTGTGTTTCTATGCATGTATATATATTTGTTATTGTTTTTTTCTCTACCAAGGCCCAACCAGTACAAGAGATGAGTCAGTGAAGGATACTAACTCCAAAATCAGGTTGTAGCACTTTGGGGCACTTATTTTTAGCATAAACAAGCAAAAGAGTAAGTTAACCATCAGTTTGGATGCATCCACCTTAGTACGATTGAGTGTTCACTCACTGTCACCTCCTGGGAGCCTCAGAAATGATCTTGAGGGGAAAGTGCTTGCAACTGACTGCACTACTCTGTGCTACTGCTATAGGGTGGCTGACTTGGGCATCTAAATGCTCCTTTTTGGAGCAATCTGACCACTGAAACTTTCAAATGCTTCCTCTCTAAACCTTGTATCCACTGTAAGCAAAGACTGAAATGAAATGAAGTGAGCAATGGCAATGAGCCTCCCACTGTGCTTAGTGGAGAATATATGTGCCTGAGCACAGAGAGGTTTCCATCTAATTGGCTGGCTTGACTAGAAGAGCTTATTCTGACTGCTGAGGTGTGCAGAGATGATAAAAACAGTCTTTTAAAATGTAGCTGAGCTAAACCAGGCAACAAATGCAGAATCATCCTCCAACCAGCCAGGCACCTCTGAGCAGTGCTTGTTAAATCTGACTTACCTGCTCTTCCAACTGGGAGTTCTTGTCTAAGATCTGCAGGATGTGCTCTCTCAGGGCACCGTTCTCATGTTCAGCAAGTTTCCCTCTTTTAACCTTAGTGAGGCAGAGGCGGGAGTGAAAGAACAAGATAATAAGATATGCAGATTGGTGAAGCTGTTAGTAAAATATCCACTGATCAGGCCTTTAAAATGTCTCCTCTGTGCTTTGACAGTGAGGGAATGGCAGACCTGATTCTCAGGATAAAGGTGTATAAACTGGTACCTTTACAAGACAGCCGTACTGCCTATAGGGGCAGTCCACTTCCACCTCAGGACACACAGCATGGTGCTTTTCAGTCTGCAGGTAATGAACAAAGAAACTGGTTAGGGAAGAAACATGAAGTAATTTGCTGCACTGATAAAGCCTGAATGCCTGCAGACAGGGTGAACAAAGGCCAGTGTCATGACACTGATCGTTGGAAGAGGAAAAGGAATGTTCTGAATCAATAAGCAAGCCAGATACTATTCCACGCTGCAGAATGCCAATAGTTTGCAGTAACCAAATAGCTCACTTCTAAGGTGAGCCATATATCCCTTTGAGGACTAAACAAAATGCTTCAAGCACTGAAGTTTAATTGGAACATTGGTTGTTGGAACCACCAATGGGGTCTGCAGCGTTTCAGCTTTCACAAATGTGTGTGTGATGTGCTGAATCACAGTATAGGAAATAACAATAGTACCTCTTTTTTCAGAATGATTTGGGAACAGTTATGGAGACAAGGCACAGGATAATCAGGACAGTCATTTTTCTCATGATTCTGGGGGGAAAAGAAACAAAACAAGGCAATGGGTTGCATTTTTGTAAAGTAATCTACACAAGAGTAAACTATCGGAAGGTAATCCCAGACAATACAGGTGCAAGCCCCATGTGCAAGTATATGCAAGGTGCAAGCTCCACTGTGAGGCTGGTGAGGCACTGGAACAGGCTGCCCAAAGTGGTAAATGCCCCATCCCTGGCAGTGTTCAAGGCCAGGTTGGACAGAGGCTTGGATGACATGGTCTAATGTGAGATGTCCCTGCCTATGGCAGGGGGTTGGAGCTAAGTGATCTTAAGGTCCTTTCCAACCTTAACCGTTTGATGATTTGATATCGTATTATCCTTCATAAGAGAGCAACAGTAACTGGTATTACTTAAAGTACATTTATTATACTTTTGCTTCAGCTACTCAGACAAATTTTGGTTCAGGAGTTAGGTCTCATTGTGATGCTGGCAACTTTTCACTCAACAACATGAAGAGGAAACACCTGCTATGGATTCCCAGGGAATGCTTTCCATTCTTACCTTGATGTTAACCAACACCACATATTTGTTACAGTACTGACACATCTCTTCTCGGAATTTACAGTGCTGGCTCAAGTGCTCTTCCAGGTCTTTCCGAAGAACTTGGTCACAGCATCCATCATTACTGCACGGCACGCTTTCAAACAAACACTGCTGAAGATGCTCCTGCAACGTGCAACAGCAGATTAAACCCCAAAGGATTTCATCACCCCTCCAACAGACCCGCAGAAAGTCAGCAGGTTGGGAACATACAAAACTCCAAATACTCTTTCCTCCATCAACTTTCTTCTCTTCCAACCTCAAAACTAAATCAAATGTGAACATTTGGAGGCTCCTTTGTTTAACTTCCACTTTTCACCCAATTGAAATGCTAAAAAAGGCCCAAATGCACAGGCAGTCTTGGCAGGTTCTCTTGAACCAGCCATTGCATGGTACCTAGGCATACAGAAGGTTTGTAGAGGTGCTGTAGATAAACTAAAGCTACCTAAAGCAAATGGTTCTTATTAAATAACCTAAGGCAAAGCTAGAACAAGCCGTAGTATTCTGAGCTTATCATTTGTTACTTACACTGTGGCTGAGGTATAAGCTTTGTACTTAAACCACGTTGCTACACTAGCTCTGAAGACAATCCCTGGAATTTAGATTTTCATAAATACACAGGGTTTGCATGAAAATCAAAGGTTTCCAGCTTGGATCAAACTAACCTGGTACCGTCCCAGCATGATTTTCGAGTTGCAGTTTGGAATGTTTTTGCAGAACACGTGCAAGTTGAGAACTTCTCTTTTACAGCAGTTGTCTTTGAATACCTGTAAAGGAAGCAAACCAGCCCTCACATGCAGTCACGTGAAAAAGCAAGACATCACAATCAGTCTTTTAAGGACACAAGTGTAGTCTTTGTAACTGTATGTTTCTTGATGATTCATATTGAAAATGGGTACTGAAAATAGAGAGTAACACATATATGGGTTTTCTAATAGGCATAGGGGGTTTTCACCATATAATTATCCACAAATGCTGATCCATCCCACAGCCAGCAGGATTAGTAGCTCAGGAGCTATAAAACCACTGCCTGTATCGAGAATAAAGCAGCTGGAGCTAATGGGCCCCAAAGGGTAGACCAGCTCTGTGCATGCTCCTCCAACACGCACGCAGTGCAGCGTGCCTTTGGGATGGCGATGCTGCTGAGCTATCCGTTCTGCAGGCTCTGGGAAAAAGCTCTGTTCCCTGCTGTGTGTGCAGGAGCAAATTAAGCCCCCAGAGCAAACTCTCAGTCTTATTTGGAGATCTTCCTGTACGGAGCATTCTAAAGCTGCTCACTGGTGTGCTGCTGCTGTCAGAGTTTGCACCAGGTGGAAGATAGCAGATGAAAACCAGAACTCATGTGGATGCTGTGATTGCAGCTTCCTGTCAGGAGGAGGACAGAGGAAGGAGACATATGATTTCACTGGAAAATTCATTCTGGCAGGACCAAGGATGTAGCACACTTTCGAGCCTTGGTGTGGAAATAGGGACAAATGAATCTATTATTTAGTATTATTAATAACAATAATAATAATAAAGACTCAATAGCTTTCAAAATTAGAAGCATGAACTTACCTTTTCCTCTAAAAAGTTACTCACAAGTAAATTAAGTCTGCAGGGTTAAAGAACTATAATGGCAATAGTTAAGGCAGCAAATTATAACCAAGTTAAACCAAAGACAAGATGACACAGTAAGATGGGGCATTGAAAAGGCAAGTCACTAAACTCTCCACTAAACAAGCCCTCTGATGACTAGGGAGGATTTAAAGCTTTGTGAAACTTCAGCACTCCCCTGGAACTACAGAAGTTTAAAATGAAATAGCTTCAGAGCATGAGGTATAAAATGAAGCTTTAGCTTTATACCCACACTTCCTTTCTGGGAGAGCATCACTGAATAGATTGCATCCCTTAGCATCAGTTCAGAGAGCAAAGCTGCTCTGCCCCAAGGTCTAACAGACTAAAAGCCACCTTGTTCTCAGCTGCCTTGCCTTTTCCATGCAGATGTTGGCTGCTGAAGTAAAACTAAAGCCACTTACCTCATGCATTTTTATTGTCTCTTTGTCGACAGGACAGGTGGGTACTGTGCTCAGTTCTCTAGATCAACAGAAGGGTTGTGTTATCCCACAGAAAAACTGATTTCTTTACCCACATTGGACCATGCTGGAATCTGACTCTGGCAGAAGTCAATACTCGATACCATAAAACCCCAAAAAAGGCCTTCAAAATCACTTTAGTCTGGCAACTATGCAGCCAACTTCTGGCCATAGCACTGAGAGGGCATTAAGCTGCAACAGTGGATATATAACAGAAAGCAAAGTTTGTCCTATGAGTGCTAGTAAGATGGGTTTTAGTTAAGAGGACTTTGTCACTCTCTGGCCATCATGTCACATCTGGAAAAAGTCCCATCGTGTGTGTTAAACCCAGTCTTTGCCTGGTGCAAGCCATGCTACACCACTAACAGGAGATCCAATGGCTCCTGTCTCAAAAGGCTTCCAAAAGTCCTACAATAAGAGATGGGAAAACACTTCCTGAGGCAGCGCAAACAGGAGGCAGGGAGAGAAAGCAGCAAACACAAAGCATGTAAAAGGTAAATGGTGACATCCATCCACATAAACTGGCTCCTCTGCTGCCTCCATAGCCAAATCCTGCCCTTGGCTACACCAAGCAGTCCATAAGGCATTCCCAGACAGGCTGTCTCACTTGTACCTGCAGCTCAATGTCTCATTTGTACCTGCAGCTCAATGTCTCATTTGTACCTGCAGCTCAATCCCAAGCAGATGGGTGCCAGCAGCCTTGTGACCTGACTTTGGTATCAGGCAATACTGCCATCAGTTTCAGAACTCCTCTAAAATCAATTCTAGAGAAGCAGATGAAAATAGCTTAATCTAACCACCGGTGCTGACACTGTGAGACATTAATGCCACAGGTTCATCTGAATGGCACGATGCTAGACAGACAGATTGAAACAGCACCTCACAGCGTACAGCTTCAGCTTACAGCAACAACTGCTTTACACTGCCTTCCCTGTGGCTCCCAAAGTACTGTGGTAGGGTCCTTAAAGACACCTTTAAAACACTGAGCACTCAGTTGAGTTCAACAGAGTCTCTCCCCCGACTCCATCAGTGTTGATCAGATCAGTACTGTTACCTGTGGCAGTTATCTATCTGTTACCTATCCCTGCTGATGTGCAGAAGGAATCGAGTTCTTTAGGGGAGGAGGAGCCTGTGGCTGTGGGAGGGGTTTGCACTGACCTCAGAGCCAGGATGCACTGCTGGCAGAAGCGGTGCCCGCAGCCCGTCTGGTGCGGGTTGTGAAGGACCAGGTGGCAGTAGGCGCACTTGTACCGCTCCTCCAAGGCTTCCACAAACCTGTAGTCGGCATCGGGCTGGAAGTCCAGGGAGGCGGCGCTGGAGGAGTTCTGGCGCGTGAGGATGCCCGAGAGAGCAGCGGGTTCATCACAGGCCATGAGAGTTGCACTGGGAGCCAGGCGCAGGAGGAATCCCTTCAGGCATTCACCACCGGTTGGTGTGGCAGGGGGGTGTCATCTGCAGCGGGGTGCAACGGGTTTCAGAGGGCAGTGAGGCACCGGCTGTGGAAGAACAACAGAGCAGTGGTGACACGACAAGCGTCACAGCACACTTCTGTGGCAGAGTCCCACAGTGTGACTGTTGCTCTGCAGAGCAGAGATTTTCATGGGTTCTCGCTCTCCTGCAGCAGCTCTTAGTCTCAAAACACTCCCAAGAGTAATGGGCATGGTTGGGAAAGCGGAGGCCAAGTCTTGGCCCTAATCCACCAGGAAAGCCTACACTTAACATAGAGCCCATCCACAGGGAACTTCAATGAACCTCAGGCGTTCACTGCAGTGGCTCAAGCAGGGGACAGGTTTGTGGTTCACAACAAGGAGCACACAAAAGACAGCAAGAGGATTTTACCTTCAGTTTAGGTGGTGCAGGAGTCCAAGCCTCTTAAGTTGTCATCTTCCTTTTTCCTCATTTATAGCAGCAAACTCTAATCCTGTTTTGTTCAAAGTTTTACTTGGTTTGGTGCACGTTCTCAGCTCTGTTAATCCTGCCTGAAGGAAGGGGTGGAAAACAAAGGAGAAAAGCAAGATTGCAATCAGAAGTGTTCCTCTCCAGCTACCGAAGCTCACACACAGCACAGCAACGCAGCATCAATGTTCTCACAGGAAAAGAAGCAGCAACAGATTTTTCCAGCCCAGAGCCACAAACCTTGAGATCTGCCCCTGGGCCCTCAATCCTGCAGTAGTTTGGGGCTCAAGACCCAGAGCCCCTCTGCTTTCTGTTTGTTGCAGCTTTGCCTTCCGAAGACATGTGTTCCTTACAGGATGTGTACGAAAGCACCGAAGCTCTCAGGTGGTTTCACGGGGGAAGTGCTCAGTTCTGTAGCTGTGCTGTGGGATGCTCCTTCTCTGTGTGCATCACCTGCCCTGTCAGTCACTTGAATCGCTCTTACTGGCATCAGCACCTCCCCAAGAGCTCCGACTTAGCTCCTGTAAGGTCACTGTGCTGCATGCGGCTCCAGCACTGCCACAGAGCACCTTAGGCTTCAGAAAGCAGCATCTATTTTCCTTTCTACTTTAAGACTCCATACTGGGCGAGGAAATCCTGTGGACAGATAAAATACCCCATTCAGAAACAAGCCAAAGAACTTAACCAACCTCATTCATGGCAAACCGAGCACCCATGTTCATGGTTGTACACAGCATCTACCTGCCCAGCTTATGAGAGCCTCCCTGCCCTCCACTAGGCTGAATGTCAGACCTACTCCAGCATAACTGATCATCTAGCATCAGTAACCCACAAGAATAGGAGCCCTGATCATATTCCAGGCATAAAGACTTGTTATTGCAACTGGTGTTTGCAATAATACAGTTTGGTTCCTCCAGATGAACAGCTTCAAACCAGAGATGAATGTCTGGGTCACTCCTTTTCCGCTCTGAAGATGGGGTTCCCAGTTCTCTGATGCTTAATGGGGAGCAGTGTGATTTTCCTCACACCAACCATGGATGCTAAAATCAGCCTGGAAGATTAACAGCCTCGTGCCCTCATGGCAGAGGCCAGCAGCAGAGCCCGCTGCTGTCCCAAAGCCTTGTTCTACCTCTAAGGGCCTACCTTAACTCCATGAGTACTTCCAGCTGGGGTGAGCAATGTCACAGATGTTTTAGGCAACAAAGGTGTGGGATACATTAAGAGGAAACCCAGCCACCAGCCCAAAATCCCACCTGGAAACTCCTTCAGAGCTCTGACTGTTCATTCAAACCCATTCATTGCCCTCTCTTTCTGCGAGGTGCGCTCTCCTGTGCTGCACCTTCCAGCTCCCTTACTGAAATGAGAGCCTTTTTCTGCCTCATGACGCACCTGACCCAGGTCCCATTCCTGTGGATGGAGACTCTCAGTGTGTCCATGAAAGCACCTTCTCCCCCTCAGCCTCACTGAGGATCACACTGCACGGCAGTGGGCACCTCAGGGCACCACAAAGAGCACTTCAGGCCAAAGGCAAGAACAGAAACCTCTGCTCTAGTGGAAGACCCGTGACAGGGGTTGGAACTGGATGAGCTTTAAGGTCCTTTCCAACCCATACCAGTCTGAGATTCTGTGACTCAGCTTTCAGTGCTCTCTTAACTGAAACCAAAGAGAAACCATCAGGGGAAAAAGTGCTTTTTTGTGACAGCAAGAGCACACCAATGGTTAACTGAATCAGTTTCCTGCTTACGCTAATGCCTGGCCCACATAAGAGACAATCTGCTTTCACTTCTGCCTCTTCACAGCTAAGAGTAATGGGAAGGCTCTTTCTTTGCATTCACGGGAACTCTTCAGCACGTGTGTGAGCTGTAATGCTGCTTTTAATGCATTAGAGAGTGGCAGGCTCCTGCTGCATAAGGATCCTCTCGTGGCAGATACACAACACATGTGGGAAAGGGATTTTCATTGCAACTCCACTGCAACAGCACACACAGAGAAACCGATCTGTGGGCACAGAAAATCTTCATGTAAAAACCCATGGATTTCCATTTACTGAAATAAACAGAATTAACTCTGACTACCCATAGAAGAGCAGCATGAATCACTAGAAGCTAGTCCCACATCCTATGGACAGCTACCAAGGAGTGTGAGCTCAGTGGCAGCGCAGTACAAATTGCTCCCAGCTGTAGCTTCCTCCCATTTCCATGCTTCTGGAACAACTCTTCACATTATGGTGTTGTAGACAGATGCTTCAATCTCCCTGGGGATAATCCAAGGGGGCGAATTGTCATAACAAGAAGTATTGTGTGCAGTGCTGGTGTCCTCAACATAAGAAGGACATGGAACTGTTGGAACAAGTCCAGAGGAGGCCATGAGGATGCTCAGGGGCTGGAGCACCTCCTGTATGAAGACAGGCTGAGAACATTGGGGCTGTTCAGCCTGGAGAAGAGAAGCTGCGTGGAGACCTCAGAGCAGCTTCCAGTGTCTGAAGGGGGCTACAAGGATGCTGGAGAGGGACTTTTCATCAGGGACTGCAGCCACAGGACAAGGGGTGATGGGTTCAGACTTAAACAGGGGAAGTTTAGATTTGGTATAAGGAGGAAGTTCTTTACTGTGAGGGTAATGAGGCACTGGAATGGGTTGCCCAGGGAGGTTGTGAATGCTCCATCCTTGGCAGTGTTCAAGACCAGGTTGGACAGTGCTTTGGCTGATATGGTTTAGTGTGAGGTGTCCCTTCCCATAGCAGGGGGTTGGAACTGGATGATCTTAAGGTCCTTTCCAACCCTACCTATTCTATGAGTCTCTGATTCTATGATTCTATGTTGGCTGTGCTGCCTTAATTGCCCCCACACCAAACACCATACCAAGAATATGCTCCACACTTAGCACATCTCACTGCTCAGGAACTGAGCAAGGCACGAGCAGAACAGGATAATAAAGAGAAAAATCAGCATAGGCAGGGCTTGCCATAGTAATGTAATATAAAAATATATTTATATATTCATATTATATATTTTTATAAGATAAAATCACATTAGTATTTTAAAAGCTGTGTCAGAGAGGTCCCCTCCAGCGGTGCTGCTGCCTGTCAGAATGGAGAGAAGTGGTGTGCAATGCTGACACCACATTGAAGTATGGTGGACAGGTTACATTCTTTTAGCCACGGAAACAGGCTGCACACAGGGAAAACCATCCCTGTGTGTGTAATGTAATGTGATAATGTAATCCCTCTCTTTAAAGAGAGTATGTTTTTCCTGTTTTCTCTGATGTGCAGCCAAGCCCCTGGAAAGGTTCATACATTACCCCTGAGCTATGAGGGCACCACTAGAGGCTGCAGCACCTCCAGGACAGCAGGCCTGAGGCACTGAATGCTACCCCATCTTTTAGACTGAGAAGGGCAAATACAAGTTGTTATCACAGATTTGGTCATCACATATGGACAAAAAGACAGGGTCCTTGGTCTTGCTGCCCAGCAAACAGGCAGGGAGCACAGCTCTGCCAGGTTCACTGTGTGAGAGGAGGGTAACACTCAGCTACCATCCAGGATTGGGTATTGCTCAATAACAAGCACCATGATCCCTTCCTTACTTAGCATCTTCCATGACACCTTGACACACCTATGTCCCTATACTCCTAGCTCTAGTTCTGCTCTATTGCTATGCCCTAAGGCACTTGTTAGGGACAAGACTTTGAAGGTGCCCTGTCCTTCCCTCTGGAAATAATCTACTTTTTAGAGTACATCAGAACTGTCATGGTGGGGAAGGTTCTGTGAATTTGAAAGGTCTAAGATCAAGTCACTTCACTGGGAGGTGAGAGGCAGAGACAGGGTGGAGGGGAGCATGCCTTGCATTAAAATGACCTTCTCCAAGATGCCTTATAAATGAGGGAGATTAGCCACCTCTGGTATTTCTAACTCAAAACAACAAAGTTCTATGGTTTACTACTATCATAAGGACCTCCACAAACACACTGCGTTTTGGGGATAAGAAAGATATGCCCCAGCTCCTAACATACGGAGCAGGACAGGTACAAAGCTTGCTAAAGAATGCCTAAAAACATCTATATGCTTTGAAATACCTATTTAAAACAGAGCAGCCTACATGGAAAACAGCAGATGATGACAAATGATATCACAAAGGGCTCATTTTTGTCCCTTACAAACCTCACTTATAAACCATGGTGCAGTGACCAGCTGATACTCAGAAGAGAACATTTCTAACAGCAATAATTTCCTCTTGGATACTTTCCTGATGCCCCACAGGGGATGCTGCTGCAAAGGGCAGCAGAGCAAACATGTTTTCTTTTGTGTATAGAAAATATTACCCAATTCAGACTCTGGTATTACCTTATTCTCAAAGCACAGTAAAATCTCGCTAAGCAAGCATCAGTTTGCTAATCTCCATAGGCAAATTTTCAGTAAGCAGAGTAAGACAGTGGGGTTTCGTTTGTGTAGAGTTCCAGTCAAGCATTGCAATAAATCCCCTTTGAGATGCATTGTTTTTCAAGGCATAGATTATAACACAGATAGCATCTTACAGCAGTTTTTAAAACACACTCTTAACAACTGATGAAGTGTGCCTGGTGCTGAGGTAGCTTTGATTTTACAGGCATATCTTCTACATGTGCTCTTTTCCCTGCATGTTCTGATCATGAAATGACTTTTTCAGTATCAAGAAATCTCTCTACACCAAATCAACCCGATATTGTTACAGGAAGATGGACAACTCCTGCCTTAAAATAATCCCCTTCACAGCTTGACGGTAACTTTGGTCCTGTAACTTCTCTAGCGATACCTGGGTGTTTCACCACATTCCCAAGCACTGATAGGGATTCTGGCACCCCCACTCATCCCTATGACACCCCCTGCTGCTTCAGGGGGTGAACTCTATTCCTGCGATGTTCCAGAGTCTGCAGCTTCCCCCGTGCAGCCCCTGAAGAGCCCTGCAGAGAGAAGGAACCATCCCAGCAACGTCAGGCTCCTGCCAGCCTTAACAAGAGAGGTTTTGGTAAAGCCGTACCTGAGAACTGTCGCTGGTCCTCAATGGGGAGACAAAGTGAGAGCGAGCTGAGAGAGCGGCGCCTGCGTGAGCTCTGTGGTTAAAACAAGAGCACGAGCACTTTAAACCAGTGAGGGAGTGGAAATCCCCAGCGTAGCTTTGAAAAGATCACATCTGAAAGTGTTTGAAAAGCGTTAGGATGGAAGGAAAGCCATTGGAAAGTATTTGTCCCCACTGCATTGATGCAGGGGCTGCAGATTTTGCCATCCGGAGCAACACACGAGAACCCAAGAACTTCTCTGACCATCCTTTATCTGGGATACAAAAGAGTTTTCACCTTTCACAAAAGGGGTGAGGAATGTGCCCAAAGGAAAGAAGCCACAGGGAGCAGGAAACACATGAGGATGTAAGGAAAACCCAGGCCCGGCCCTGTGAAACCCTCCACTATGAGCCCGTGGTGGACCCCTTGGTTGCAGGAAGCAAAGGCACAGCTCACAGGGGAAAGGGTGTCTCATGCTGCGGGGCTGCAGGGACATTTCACATCTAAACCAGACCTCTCTGCCTGCCAGAAAACACACCTAAAGAAAATGATGTTTCTCTTTAGGTTGTAATAATTTCAGTGGCCACAAACCCTGATGGTTGTGGAGCCTGAACTTCACTGTGCACGCGGGATCCCTGGCAGCCTTCATCTGCACTGACTGTGCGCCAGCTTCCTGCCCCAGACCCAAGTGTGCTGTCCTCACAGCA